GTGAAATGAGTTTTATATCACGGAAAAAAAGTGTGAAATAAACTTAAGGATCTATTGTAAAAAAAAAAAAAAAAAAAAAAAAAAAAAAAAAAACGATATTAATTGAAGCTGAGAAGTGTACTTGTTATTACATTTGAATGAGTGAGTGAGTGAGAGAGAAAGAGTGTGAAAGAACATCGCGTGGATGCGAACTTGAAGAGAGAACGAGCGATTGGAAACAAATGAGTTGAAACGAAAATGTACCACTGCGATGATCAATTGTATCAGTTAATAAAATGCTATGATCATCCAATTCTCGTTAACTGAACTTTGTTTTTTTTTTTAGTAATAATTTTTCTTTATATATCGAATATATATATATACACAACACACACACACACACACACACACACACACGTACACAAACTTTACCGAACACAAACTGTAACAAAAATAATTGAATAAAATGAATGAACACAATAACGAAAACCAAGTAAAATATATTTTCTAACTAGTCGATGTTTTTGAAACTTGATCGTATCGAGATTCACAATGTAATTTCATTCGGTCGGTGGACACAAATTATTTCTTGTGCAATTTCTATGATAAAAAAAAAATATTTAAAAAGTATTAAAATTAAATATTTATATGTATAAAATATTAAATTAGCGGTTAAGATCGTACAGTAACTTTTGGGTGTCGCTTTTTTTTAAGCGAAAATCTTCATGCGATACACATTGCATCGTTTTTATGTCAGTTGTTAAATTATATTGTTTATTCACAGAATAATATTATAAAAATATAAAGAAGCATTTTAAAGAGAATCCTTGAAAGATGAGAAAGAAATATTTTTGTTACAGTAACTTAAAACTAACATACTTTGTACATTTCGCGATTTCACCTAATTTTTATATCGGCGTCTTCATGAGACTTTTTTGCTGCTGCGTCAATTGCGTGATGTCGACCACTTTCGGCATTTGACCCTGAACGAGTTCCAACTTCAAGAACGCGTCTAAATTCTCGATTTGATGTTGCGCCTTGCGTAAGTTCTGAAAGAGAATTTACAGATTTGAAAAAAAAAAAAAAAAAAACGAGAGATTTAACTTTAGAGAGACATCGATTGTTATCACGAATTTATTCGACTCACCTGTCGCAATTCGTCGCGTATCTGAGGATTTGATTTTGCGAGTTTCTTCTTTTGCGAAAATTCTTGCACCGTAAATCCGAGAAATTTTTCCAGAATCTAGAGGAAACCCAACAATCTTATTTATAAACAAAATTAAAAACAATACGATTCAAGCGAGATTAGATGTTTTAACGATCTTAAGAAAGATTTGTGTATTCTCGCATAGTTTTTACCTCGGAATCAAAACAGACTTCCACACTGGAAGTACTGTCCGCGATCAGTGCCGTTACCGTCCAGCATTTACCCTGTTTCGATAACGTCGAATGTTTTTTCACTTGACCTCTCACTGTCCTGTACATTTTTCCTGTGATAGGTTCTTGCAACACGTCGCTCAAGTTGTCACAAATTTTTTTTTGCAATTGGGGCGTACTCGGTTTAAATAACGTTTGTCCAACTGTTCCTGAAGAAGTTCCCTTTACGAAAAATAAGGAATTGAATAAATAAAAAATTACATACAGTGGACCTTAATATCACAAACAAAAAAACAGATCTGTTTAATTAAAAAATATGATACCGTAAGATGTTTGTTTTGAGTAGTCGACATGTTCCTAGAGATTTGTTTCTTAACTGCCACCGGAGTATCGTGATTCATCGATCTCTTAGGCACTGACATTGGCTTAGGCATCGGTAGCTTAAAGCATGTTTCAATTTTATCCTTCGATGAGTTTCCACTTTGTTGTCTAAAATATGACGGCGACAAGTAAATACGCACGAACACAAAGCGAAAGCGTTATGAGATGTAAGAATGAACAAAACCTTCGCGGCTCTTCTGATGCTGTAATTTCGCAATCGTCAAAGTCAAAATCGTCGTCAGGAAATTCCGAAGCGGCTTTATTTGCAACGGGATTTGGAAGAGGCGTTCGTTGGTTGCGAAAATCGCGCGCGGAAGTTGATTCGACTATAATTATGTCATCGTTCGTGTCACATATTTCGGTTTCTCTTCGTGCCGGTACGGAATTCGTAGAAGGATCATTGGGCCTAAATAAGCGGATGAGCGAAAGACAAGTACAATAAGAGTGAATTAAGAAACTGATTTATGTTTTTTAACCCGTAATACCAACCAATCCTCTAACGGTTCGAAATCTATATCTTCCAAGAGTTCTTCCATAGGCTCTCTCGCTTCTTCCGCGGGTGGCTCAGGTGGTCTCTGATCGCGTGTACTTGTGCCGCCAACAATAGTTTTATTTTCCTGACTCAGACGCTCAATCACCGTAACCGCTTCCAAGTCGACGGTGTTCTCGAAATCATCATCAAAGAAATGTTCCCCACTAGACTCTTGCGTTACACTTTGAGCATTGCGAGCATTCGGAATTCTAAGCGGTCCATTGTCGTTATAAGGATCAGGATTTTCCGCTTCTCCTCTAAACAACAAAATAAAAATTACAAATTACAAGAACTGTCGAAATGTAAAAATTATAATATACATTTAAAAACAGAATAATTTGAGCTTTACAGGGCTCTAGCCAAGACGTTCTCCAACGCATTCAGTTTCAACAAGGGTTCCACCTCTCCGCCAACTTCTTTGTATTTGCCATTTTCCAAAAGAATAACGCCACGTCTACAACTGACCGGACCGATAATCATTATCTTATAGCCAGGAAGCAGTGTGCTCTGTGTGCAAACCAGCTCATAGAACGTCGTTGTTTTACTTCTTTGGTAACTTCAATGAAAAAAATCAAAATACAGAAAACATCTTACGGTCATTTGTTCAAGTGGCTTGTATTCTATTGCCGTGACATCCTGCACTCCATCGGTGAGACAGAATTGCATCATTCTTCTGGCTTTGGGCTCGTACTCCATGGTCTTCTCTTTCTCCGTCACCTCTATGTTTTCACTGTTCACTTTGCGGATCTCGCACAGCTGCTTGTACTTGGAACTTGCTATATCGTACATCTTGTCTACCTATGCTCACACCGGATGATCTTCACATGTACAATATCTGAATCATCAAAGTGAAAGGTACACGTTGCCACAGCGAAATATTAAAATTTCTCAATGCTCACCTGAAGAATATAAGTACCGGTCAATATGGTGTGAACCTGCTGAGCTAGGTTCTTCGGCAAACAGCCGTTCTCGTTGCTGATCTCCCGCAGATCGCTCAATTGCCACTGGCCTTCCACAAATTCAAAGATATGTCTGTCCGTCATCTACAAAATAACACAAGCACACAAGCAAGAGAGTTCAGAATCAAGACTTGGTTGATTATTTGTGAAAATAAAATTTCAAGTATGGTAAAGTGACGTACAGTTTTCTTAAGTTATCTCTTTTATAACAAATGATCGATGATTAAAACAATTATGTAAAAATAATAAAAAGTAGAAATAAATCGCGACGTACTTCGTGGGCGGCTTTACCACCGATAAAAAATTCCACACAGTCTCTCAGCCACGCGTCGTTCATCACGTAACGCTTCGCATTGAGTTGGCTTTTTATACGCCTCAGCAAATTCGCATTCATGTTTGGATTTAAGCGTTTTTCTTCTCTTCGTTCGCAGGTTTATGTCACTCGAGAGTGCTCGAGATAAGTGTGTGTGTGTGTGCGTGTGTGTGCGAGACACCTTGTTTAAAATTGAAAATCGAATTTTCTCCGATTCAATATTAATTTCGATACGCGATGTAGTTATGTATATATTTCATTGAGTAGAATACAGAGAGGATTTAATAATGCAAAAACATCTCTCGGCGTAAAACACGGAGTGACGAACTATATATTGCATTTTTTAAAAGCAGAAAACTATCGTACCGCTGAAACGTGTGTACGCGTGTACACCCTGTTCCAAAACTCGCTGCTAGTTTCTCTTCGATCGCGGGCGCGGTGTAGGATACGGTAGATTCGCTCCTTGTCGGCATCTTTGATCTGAAGTTGTGTGTGTGGTTGGTTTCTATTCTCCTCTATAAATATCTCTATCGTAGATATGAAAGTTATTGCCAATTCATAGGCAATAAGCGCAGAGCGATGTTTCAACTGTTGAACGCGGCCAATCCATTTCATGGATTTTGAACGCCGATCTGTGATTGGTTGATTTATTTAACGCTCAAGTTCTTCCGCGCGTGTTCTTGACTTAAGAGACCGGATCTACAAAATTGTGTGATCGCAACACACAAAATTTCCACATAAAAACCGTCCGATACGATCGGCCGCTTCCGGAGATTTCGCGGTTGCTTGTGGTTTGCGCATCGCGTGTTTGCGCAAAATTTGACTGAAATCGTAAAGAAAGTTTGAATATTTAATTGCCGGCAATAAACGGACGCGCTGGTCCACACCTGCGGCGCGTGCGAACTATGTACGCGCGCATGCGCGCGATCATGCGCGGCGTGCGATTGGTGTGGTCGCGGTGCCGTGCGCGCCGCCGCCATTTGCAATCCGCTCGCAAGGGGCCAGCGCACGGCAGGCACGGCGCACACGCGGTCGCCGTTAAACACGCCGTAAAGCCGTCCGTCACAAAACCTGTTCGCGCGATTGAGATCCTTCGCGATGCTCTTTGCTGGCCCTGCCCCGTCAACCGTTTGCTCGCCGCGGTTGAACGCTTGCGTGTAGGTGAGTGCCGCAGTAGTGTGAGGCGGTTCCGATGACGGCTGCGCGCGCGTACGCGTGTACGCGTACGTGCGTGCGTGCGTGCGTAGCGTGAAAAATATATATATATATATATATATACTACACACCGCCGCCGTACGCGCTTACGCGTGTACGCGTGTGTACGTACATTGCGTGCTTGTGTTGTGTGCGCGTAAGAGTGCTTGAATCATTGCCCTCTCTCTGTTCCTCCCTGCTCTTTATTTCGCTTTTTCCGTATGTTGTGTGTGCACGAATGTGTGTGTGTGTGTATGTCTCTCACACAAACGTAACCTAACCTAACCTAACCTTTTCGTTATCGCTGGAGCGCTCTCAGCGGATCGGCGTGCGCGATGATGGGTTACCTCTAGCCGTTATTAAACGAGGGTCCAGCGTCAGCGCGCCTTGTTTGGGATAATCCACTTCGCTGCTACACCGCGTGCTACAACACCAATAAATTAGAGCATCGCAAGAAGCCGTGTTCTTGTTTTCCTCCTCTCTTCGTCTGCGTTCACACATCTACGTTATTAGAGCCATGGCCTCCTCTAACCGCGGCATCCAGATCGGTTCCGGCTGGTTCCAGACCAAAATTAATCTCAGGCCGCAACACCGGGGTGTTCACTTAGTCACCGAGGAGATTCTCAGGCAGGTCCCTGAGCTCTGCCAATTTTCTATCGGTCTCTGCCATATTCAAAGTAAGTTTCGCCTCGGTTTCACCTGCTTAACCTAAATACCTCTTGTTCGGAAATAAAAAGTGCCAAAAAGATTTCACAAAAATTTGACCAGAGGCACGTTGAATACCTAACGAATCCCGTAATCAGGAATACACTTTATGTGTCAACTTATTGAAATTGGTAGTGATTTTGAATGAACAAAATAAATTTTGCACCGAATGGATTATGTGCAGTAGTGCAGTTCTAAATATAGTTCCAAGTGATAAAAAATGTATGTTTAGACACAATGCAATATTTCAGTGTATTCTGTGTTTCAAATATGTTTAAAATGTATGAAACTGAATGTTTTAAAAACCAAGTGAACGTTATTTGAAAGTTTTGTTTAGATTAATATTAATTTAAAAATAAATTAAATTAATTGCGCTTATATTCACATGTAATCTTGTATTTGTGAATTTGATCAATTTAGATAAAAATATTTCTCAATTGTTAATAATCAGTTTGATGAGATCAAATAAATTTGGTGACTGTGTATTCACACATTTGCTTCACAAATAGTTTGACAAAGATAGATCAGTGTTAATCACTGTTTTTTTTTACACTTATTGCCAAGAGATGTGTACTTTCTTATTACGTATTAAATATCACATATATGTAAATATGTACATATAATACATGTATTTATATATAAGAGAAGTAAATAAGAGAAATCTTGTTTGTGGTGGAACAGTAAATGCTAGATTACTTCTTTTCTATAGTTCTCCATACCTCAGCTAGTTTAGCGTTAAATGAGAGCTGGGATCCAGATGTAAGAGATGATATGGAAATGATGCTTAACAAAATAGTTCCTGAGGGTTTAGATTACAGACATAGCTGTGAAGGGCCTGACGACATGGTAAGTTAAGAAAGCTTTTGTAGTTTATTTTCTTAATCGAAAACCTTTTATTCCGGTTTGTAAGAAAGTAATGTCCGTGTAATGCGATGTATATAACGTTTTAATTATCAATTTTTCTTTATGTAAGTTTATACTAATTTATTTATTTTTTTTTCATTGTTTTACAGCCAGCGCACGTAAAGGCTTGTTTCTTGGGTTCTTCGTTAAGTATCCCAATAACTGATGGTAAATTGGCACTGGGCACGTGGCAGGGTATCTGGTTAGGCGAACACCGCGACCACGCTGGCAGCCGTAAGCTGGTGGTAACATTGACTGGTGTTTTAAGGGACTCCGCACGCAGCCCTCTTAGCCCGGTCAGTCCCATCGCCTCTACTAGCAGCTAGGACCACTCGCACCCCCGAAGGCGTGGCAAACGTCAGCCGCGCGCGTCCATCTCGAGTGACTCAAGCTAGCAGCCGCTTCAAGCTCTAGTCAAGTTCTCTAAGAGTACAATCCATTGAAAAAAAAGTGAGTCGGATATCTCACGGACTTATCCAATGCCCAGAGAGAGAAAGAGAGCGAGAGAAAGAGAGAGAGAGGGAGAGAGTGAAAGAGAAAAAGAAAGAAAGAAAGAGAGAGCCACCACCATTAGCGATCAACCGAGTCCTTGGCGTTCTCCGCGTCAACTATTAAACGGACAAACCGGGATCGCGCACTGTTCAAGACTTCTGTGCGTGCGTGTATGTGCTTCAAAGTTTTGTTCATGTCTCTGATGTCATTCAGCAAGAGTATATATATATATATATATACACACATACACACATATATATGTAACAAAGCTATTGAGATTGTTGAAAGTTCCTCAGAAAAGGGTAATTTGTGAGACGACAAAAGTTTTTTGAGCTTTCTTCTTGCCGAGTCTTTTATGCTCGCAAAACCCGCGAGGAATTTACAGTTTTTAAAAGGGCTGATATAATTTCTCCTTCACAGCCCGGGAATTCAAATTCTAAAGAAATTTTTACTCACTCAAACCGGTCGCACGAAGAAGGATGATCTATTTAAAAAAAAAAAAAAGAAAAAAAAAGGAAAAAAAACAAAATCTCGAATTTGAAGCCGCGAAATAAAAAATATCTAAGACTGAGAAAGTGTTATTGACACATCCGTGTCAGTTCGGAGAGAATTCTAAAGTCCAGGAACGTGGTGCAAGTTTCCAAAGTTTTTGGACATTCAATTTCTTACAAAGACGCCGGAACTTTGCAACAACTCAAAATGCTTCATTCTCATTTCTTCATTCCTGATTTTTTTTTTAACGCGTTGACCACACGGAATATCCGATACAATAATAATGTTAATGATACTAATATTAATAACGATAATGGGTAAAACGAAGGAAATACAAAAAAAAGGGAGACGAAGAAATAAGAGAAGTGAAGAAAAAAACTGCCATGCGCGTCTCATTTAAAAAAACAAACTGTGAAATAAACGCGAGCATTCCAGCGCTCTTCCGCCTCGCTCTTAAAGAGGGAAGTAAGCGAAAAAAAAATGTGAGGAATCTACTCAAATAAAAAACAAAAAAACAAAAAAATTCAAAAAAAAGAAAAAACAAAAACACGAAAGATGGAGTTCAGAGGGGAGTATGAATCTGTGCACACATTCCGAGATAACGCGTCCAAAAACTCCGAATTTACATAGCTTTATTTAGGTGATCCTTTTGTATAATCCAAGATATAACAAGAATTATATATACGAACAGCTATATATATGCAGGGACTCACATCCTTTTTTTACACTCTGCTGTCTTTGGGCTTGTCTCACAATGGGAGATATATAAAAAGAATGGGTGAATAGGAGAAAAAAGAAAACAGAAACACACAATGAGGATAATAAGAATGAAAGAGCGTAAATGTGATGTGATTTACGAACTCTTTCTGATTTGCCGTTGAGAAAAGAAGATTTATGAGATTAGGAGCTGAATCAATTGCTGGCGGGGGGAAAAAAAAAAAATATGGCGTTTCCATCGCATTTGGGGGTGTGTATATGTATATAAGAGAAAGTCCGACGATGATACTGTTGTACACGTTTCCGCTAGAGTTATAAATGTTATATCACCACAGATACCTATCGCGATTACATCCTATTATAATATAGTGTGCGTGTACAGAGCGTTGGAAAATTCGAGTTCAATTCCACTATTTAGTTTTTCAAGAACTTTGCTAAAATAATATTTTTGCACTCGAATTTTGCGACATTCTACAATAATTGTGTGAAAAAACAAAACCAAAAAAAAAAAAACAAGGTTATATCATACATCCGCGGAGTCGATAGCGAGACTCGACGAGATTTGTAATTTATTTTTATTCATTTTTTTTTCTTGATTGTTCGTGTCATAAGTGAAATATTATTTTATTCGAGAAGACAACAGATTAGGGGGAAGTATTAATTAATACTTCTTTCAATATTGAAATATTGCCGTGAATTTTAAAGTTGTTACGCGTTTTTTTTATAAATATTAAATTTATTTAAAAAAAAATCGAGAAAAAATGTTTTCGATTAAACGCGGTTTTCTCATCGAGAGAGATTGTCCGAGTTATCTTAGGTTTTACTTTGGTTTAGTTATATATTTATTTAAAGTGACAAAGAGTTCGAAAATAATCTTTCTCATCAAAATTCCAGAGGAGGTAAATTTAAGTGGCTAGATCTGCCGCGCTTGCTATTTTTTATAGCTTGAAGTTTTACTTTTTATCTTCAAGAAAAATCACATATTATAAACGAAGTCTATTCACAAGCTATCAATTCTTGCTTTCTAAAAGGTCACTATTTTCAGAGAGAAGGGTGGTTCAATAGATCTAACACTGCGATAAATTGTAATGTTGGATCGTCGCGAAGATATAATAATAACAATATTCCACTTTCGAAACGCTCTTTGTGAAAAAACAAAAAACAAAAAAAAAACAAAAAAAAAAAAAACTATCAACTTGTAAGAAATCTTTAAAATGTGATATAAATTCCAATTACTTTTTAATAATCTTCACACGGCTTCGCTTCTACCGGAAGTAAAGTAAATACGCGTTTTTCCTTTTGTTTCAAAACGGTCATTGGAGAAAGAAAATATTAAGGTATAAGTCTTTACGACGAATCAACAACAAGTGGTATTTATATACAACATTATAAATGGAAGCTTATATTGCCACCGCAATAATGTCGAAACGAGCAAGCAAGCAGTCAGATAGACGAGAGAACGTGGGAGAGAACAGAGAGAGAGACAGAACAGGTGTTGTTGTTTAGTCGTTAATCTCTTCATCGTACATAGGCGTGCAAAAAAAAAAAAAAAAAATAAATAAATAAATAAAAGATGCGTCATCGTCCATTACGTGATTAAATGGACCTATGCTTTCATGTAAAGTATGTCTCTATCTATACAGTTCACATAGCTTTAAAAAAAAAAAAAAAGAAAAAACATTATCGGAGCTCAAAGTATAATGTAATGTAATATAATGGTACACTGTCGAAGTTATCGTACGTGTCGTCCCTATTCGTAAAAAAAAAAAAAAGAAAAACGGAGCATATTTAGGAGACGTGGAGGAGACTCCGGTACAATGCACAAAAAAACAAAACAAAACAAAAAAAAAAGTAAACTAAACGCTCTTTGAGCCTCTCCACAGCTCCTATTGTGTCCATCACGAACACGACTTTAAGGTCAACAGCCAACCACACACAGTTCGTGCTTTAAGGCGAGGCGGTTAGCATTTTAATCTGTACACACGCATAAATAATTATTGTAAATAATAACGGATTGCTGAACTTCAGACGAGGCTGCGTTCTCGGAAAATTTTTAGACGGTATGTTACATATGTATATTCAGCGTGAGATCTATCGGAGCCCCACGGGACCCTCCGCGCGGGTTATCCTCAAGAATTTACAAAATCTCTTTTCGAACTCGCAACACAAACCACACGTAACTCTCGTGAATCTCTTAATTCTTTTTTGCCGTTTCAGAAGATCGTTTTTCAAAGATAATTCGCGATTGTTTCGCAAAAAACAAAAGTTATCTTTTTATTTATTATCTTGACATTGCTAAGATAATTTTCATCGGCAAATTTGTCGAGTTTCGAATTTACATGTTTTTTTTTTTTTTTTATGTGTAATATCTTTATTCTTTCGTTTCTCAAAAAATTTTAAATTTTTTGTGAATTTCGTTTTTGTGAAAAATTATCGCTTTTACTACTACTTGCGTAGAACATATCTTTGCAAATCGATTTTATTCCTCGGAATCTTGAGTGCTCTTACAAATTTCTATCTTCGGAGATCGGGCTCCTTTTAAATGCATTGTAAAACAATTAAGAGTCACGATTACTTGTTGTATTTGCCAAAAAAAAAAAAAAAAATTAACTCTAAAACAAAAAAAAATTCATTTCCAAGCGTAAGCTTTTTCCCGCTTACGCGCAGCGAACGCGGATCTAATTATTGCAACGCATGCAGGCTCCGTCAGTCCCTCTTTGCACTCTTGCGTAAGTAAAAATATTTTCTACCATTTAGAAATAAAGAACTGTTACAACACAAACGTGGCACATTAATGTACATGTGATGAACCAATTAATGAATACCTTGGATTATTATATATAAGAATTTTATACATATGTATTTCTTTTTTTTTGTTTTAATCAAGGTGGGCAAGTGAAAAAATGTAAGTATATATATAAGAAGATTCAATGGCAATATATATAATATTGCAATCGTCTCCCGATTGTTATAATGATGATGATAATGCTGGTGGCAGTGCTGGGATGTTACTTCATTTTCTGAGAATGAAGATGGGCTACCTTCCTCGCTGACTGAGATTAGTCTGAGCCAGTCGTTTGATCTGAGAGATTCAGATATGGCTTATTTTACAGGCACAACTAAAACAAACAGTTCATGCCGTGATAGAAAAAAAAAGTTACCAGGGCGGTGTCATCAGTTTTGGATTCGCAATTCCGAATTTTCTGCCGAACTCCCGCGGGAAGATGAAAAATCAAGAGTGTGATTTCTTTGCTTATCAAACTTTTATATTATCTCAATGAGAACAAATGCGGATTAATCGGGAGACTTTTCGAAGACTTCAAGAGGTCAGTTGGAAGGTACGTTGAAGATATGACTCATGAGGTCCGGCGGAAGCTTACCATCTGGTTTTCTGGTCTCGGGTTCGTTCGGATCCTTCCAGTCCTTCGGGAGCGGATGAGGACCCGGGTGAGTTAAATCCGACGTCTTCTCCTGAACTACTTTAAAAGAAGCTTTAATATTATCCAACGCGTTTCCTAAACCTGTTTTGATCTGATTGAATTCCTGTGTCACCAGGGACAGGCGGCCGAGAAGGTAATTCAAGTTCTCGTCCACTTCTGTCATGCGTTTTGTTATCTCGCCAACCTGTAAATATTTGCCAAGTATTTTGAGAAATTTTCAAGTGAATTTTCGACGTTTCATTGTTTTGATATAGTTAGTGCGCTTATCGCCACCTTGCTTTCCATGCCACCCATCGTGGACGTCGTGCCGTTAACGTAGGCTTCGTTCTGTTGGTGCAGTTTGTCCAGAGCACGAGCGCTCTCCGTCATCTGCTGGTACATCACGTTAATTTGTCGCCAGACCTGCAACGAGAGCGATAACGACGAGGTCTCCGAGGCGATGCGCGTTAAGCGAGCAACAGGTTTTTACCTTGTTCATTTCCTGTTCCATCTTACTGGTAAGATTCGCCAGAGCGCCGTTCTGATTGTCCATAATGTCGTTCGAAATCCCATCGAATCTCTGGCTAAGAGTGCTGTTGATGTTGATACCCTGAGATTTCACTAGGTCGCCAACTTCCAACAGGATCTGATGCACGCCGTATTCCACTCTCTTCTTCGTGTCTAGCACGTGATCGGCCATGGAAACCATCACCGATTGACCTTTTTCCAAGTTTTGCAGTTCTTGGTTTACGCGTTCCGCGTTGTTTGCCAGATCCATCCTGCAGTGTTGAATATTCATTCACATATTGTGTGACATCATTGTTTTTTTCCTTTCACGCGTTAACTAGGTGTTTTTAATATTTGTTTAGAACTCACCGTAATGCCGTAATCGAGTCCTTTGTTTCGTCTTTACCTTCTGTTATTTTATCCTCGGTATTGCCAGCGCTTCGTGCGATAGCGTCCTTCAGTTCGTGTTTAGCTTCTTGCAGCACAGTCTGCGTCTCGTTGTGTAGCGTCTGCACCTCGCTCATCCTGTGTCGTGAGATTTATTATAAATTTTAAAACGTATTGAATATTTTCTCACGTGTTCTCGTCGAGAATATCAAAACTCGAAATTGCGAACATAGACGTTTGAATTCAAATGTCACCTGGGTAATTCTTGTATTCTTTCAGATGTGTTTTCCAGCAGCTCCTGCACTCGTATCAACGTTTTAGCTTGTTCGTCAAAGGAACTCGTATCCACTTGTCGCTCCGACGGAATATTCTGCTTTATTTTCTCCAAGGAAATCTCGATGTCCCCAATTCTGGCAATCGCGTCTTGCATCTGCAATCCGTGAAGAAAGATGAATCATTTCGTTAATGCATTGAACATACATACGCGCAAGAAAGATTATATCATTCCTTTTCACAGATATAAATCACCTCTGAGAAGATGGTATATGTTTTCTCCATCAGCCTGGTCGATTCTTTGTCTATCCTTGCCATGTTATTATTCAGATTCTCTTTAAGTCGCGCAAGCTCTTCCACCAAGTTGGTCTCGGTGTCGTTCAATTTGCCGAGAACGTTGGCGAGGCCGTTGTCCAGCGCGGAAGTGGTGTCCGGACGGCTGTTCATCTCCGCCACCTTGTTCTCGACGTCCGCGAACCAGCTCTCCAGGCGGCTCTCCAGATCCTCCAGACTGTCCGCGGTCTTTTGCATTTGTATGCGCTCTCTCTCGTCTTTCTGCGAGACGAAATAAATCAACATTCACATAGAAGAACTTCGCTTTCGCTTAGTGTCCTACTCAATTAAGAAAACGGGAGCGATCACCTGCGTGATTAGATGCTCTATCCCCGCGATTCTCTCGTCCATCTTGGTCAGCTGCACCTTCAGAAGATCCACGGTGGACACGCGCTTCGTCAGGATAGTTATAGTCTTCTTCAGCTGATCGCCCAGCTGCCGTTCCCTCGCTTCGTGTCTCTCCAATTTCTCGGTGTTTTCGCGCATCATGTGCACCAAACTCAGCATCGCATCTTTAATGTCTTCGTGACTGCAAAGATTGATATAAATATTGTTTGCGAGAACACTTGTAATTTTTACTGAAATCTTGATCTTGTTCGAAGAGAGAAGAGAACGAGAGCGCACGATCGCGTACTATCAAATAATGGATTTTACATACCTGATTTCCCTAGTGTAACCGATCTCAAGACAGAAGCAATACAAAAACGTCAAGAGAAGTGGCAGCCTCATTGTTGTTTCTCTTGTCAAGAGTTGTTCGCAAGACACAGCGATGTCCGTACACACTCCCGTCACTCAGTACTATTTGAAATTTGCTCGCGTTATTACGTTTCGACGAATTTCATTTAATGTTGAACGCTGATAACATATATAAAAATGCAAATTACAAACAAATAAAGTAAGAAGAAGTCAGTTTATTTTCGCGCTACTTGGTAATGAAGAAAAAATGTTACTCTACTTCTATAAACTAAAAAGCTTCTCTCTTTTTCCCTGTGTGTCTAATTGAATGCGATCGAGATAAGAAATGCGCAGGTCACTCACGATGACCCCGGGTACAGAGAAATCATCACTCATAATAATATATTATACTCGAAACGAAAATCGGCAAAGTATATATACGGTGTTCAATTTTTTGTTTCTTATCACACAATTATATTTATGCTCTCGTTCATTTTTATTTTAATCAACTTCGGTTAATTATTCTTGCGGTCAATATAAACAACATATGTCTTACCTAGGTTTTTAGATACACGTTTGATTTATGCGATACACGTCATAAAAAGATGTGCATTGTTTCAATACGGAAACAATTTAAGAATTATTTTAATTTTTTTTTTAATAAAAATTAACTTCTACACACGCACACATATTTCACTCTAAACTTTCGAATATTTATATATACGTCGGGGTTTTTCCGTTTGAATACGTCGGCTCGCGCGAGAGAAAAATAATACAGAGATTTCTTTCACACGAACCCCGCTCACTTCTTTTTCATCATTTCTTAGACTCGCGATGCAGCACAGAATCCTTCTTTGGTACATGACGGAGGGATGAAATGTGTGTGTGGGACTATTTATAGCCATACACAGATGAGCATTCCCTCAAGAAACCATATGGTCTATTATAGCCATCAAGCCATGTGTTTCAAGTACAACAAATTTGTTTTGCTCTTTACATAAGTGCACCAGCAAACGCGAATCAAGTTGGTCGAGAATCGATTTATTTTCTCGTAGCCTTCAGAAAAAATCGAATTTTCATCTCGATCTGTTTCTATTGATATCATTTTATTGTTGAGAAATACGGAAAAAATTTTTGTTACATTTACAAAAGAACGCTAAAGAATACACGTGTATTTACAAGTATTAGCAATAATTTGCTTTCTTGTTGTCACTTTGTGGTTTAAGAATTTTACACATCAACAAACAATGCAAAAGAAATTTATTAATATTAGAAAATTTTTCCCGACAAAAAAGTAATTAATATTTCGAAAAAATTTGCAAGCGTTCTTCTCACAAACCCAAAAATTTTATAAATTATGTATTTATATTTCTTTTCACAATAATAATATATTTTCAATTCACAACAAATCTTTTTACACATAAAAAGTACATACTTCGCGGGAAAAAATACTTCCCAGGAAAAAATGGATTAGATTTGATTTAAATCTAACGAGATAAAAAAATGAAAAAAAAAAGATCTAATTAGATCTAAATTAAATCTAAATAGATATAAAGTAAATCTATGCAGATGTGAACAGATTTGAGGTGATCTGAGTAAATATAAGGATAAATAAGGTGTGAATTTTATAGAAATCTAATTAGAGAGATATCTCTCTTGTATCTATTTAGATCTACTATGTATATTTAATTTATATGTAATTAGATTTCTTCCATTTTTTTTATCTCGTTAGATATAAATTAGATCTGATCTATCATTTCCCGGGATTTAAAAACCTGTTGCGTGCGTTACTCGTCTCGCGATTTTTTTTTATGCTTCAATGAGTGTTGACATCGACAAAATCGTACGTTACGATGTACATATTATCTTAAAAAAAAAAAACTAGCTGATAACGGAGACTATGAAATATGATTATAGTCGATATTTTTAAATGGTTTAAAATCGATCGAAGAACGAAACGAACAAATTGTCGAGCAATTGCGAAATATGAAAACGAGCAAGTATACTATACGCATTCCGATTATGTATTTTGTTTTTTTTTTAACGTGCACAAAACGAAGAGGAGGAATACTATCGGGACAAAAAAAAACAAATACGAATAAAAAAGTGGCAATAAAGACGCGGAAGAATCTCGGACGCGCGAGACAAAACACGAATAGAGTTATATTGAATAGTAATGAAAAGTTGGCTCGCGCTTTTTGTTTTTTTTGTTTTTTTTTTTTTTCGTCCGCACCGTGTGAGAGACGCATAGAGGAAAGGAACGAACGCGTATTACGGCAGTCCGAGTTCGTGTTGTCCACATATCGATATCGATCGATCGTTATTTCAGCGCGAGGAGCGCATTCGAGATAAACCGATTGGGTTTTGTTTTTTTTTCTTTTACTCACTTCGGTGTGCCTGTGTCCTCACGAAAAAAAAAACGCGCGACAAGAGCGCAATCGACTGATTTCCGCCACGACCAACGGAGAACTGCAGAGAGAACTGATCTCGCGCTCTCTGCCATTACAGAATTTTAAAAATCGTCCGGAAGCTGTGTGTAAGTGAGTTTCACATCTGTGCATACATGGTGTTGCACTGCGCATAATAGCACCATGGCCAATCAGAAATCCGTTTGTACTCCCGAGCGCGAGTTTCAACTCTTCTTACGATATCTTACGTGTACATACAAAAAAAAGGATCATATACATTCCAATTGTTACGATCAATATATGAACAAAAATACAATTAAATCTCCTTGTTGTTACTACTGTACAATGCCGTAAAATTCAAACCAATAAATTTAACATATTAATCACTGAAAGTTAAATGTTTATTAAAGTATAATATAAACAAAATACAATTTATGTTAGAACGTTGTGCTTTGAACTAGATGTATTATATAATAATAATATATCACATATATAAAATCACACAGAGTATATATGTAACAAAACTATACACACTTTTATATTCTTGGATTTATTTTTCTCGCATAAAAAATGTCAATATGTACATAAATAAAAATGTAACGCGTATAACGCAAGCATAAACATTATGTATATTTAACACGTATTATATATTAACATATACTTTTTTATATTACATTAAAAGAATAACAATTACCACACACATAATACATGACATACAATATAAAAAGTATATTTATACATTTACAATGGGTTTATTGTTTTAGAAATATCTCTTTTTGAACTTGCGACTTTTTTATCCACCGTGTATATTGTATATACGTATATATATACCACACACAACGGACGCGATGCTGGAGAAATAACAACCAAGTGCGAAATGGTGTTAGTGTGAAAAGCGTTAATTGAAACGCAATCCCGTTGGTTTTCCGTATCACCGTTGTGTGTACGTCTCACATACACAAAACCGCACATAGATAATTCGGGATTGTTTTTTTATATAAATATATCTCCGCGCCGAGAGATAATTTTTCTATAGGTATAATAACTCCTGTCGTAAACATCTGGACGCTCGCTCACGGTTGCGCGCGCATCGCAGGCACGAAGCAGCATGGAGGTAGAATTCTGACTTACGGATGACATGAGGGTCATGTAGTAGTAAAAACGACGACGAAACACGCACAGATCAACATCCATCGACACGCCGTCGTTATTGAACTTTAGAACCTTGCACTTTGATCACATCATTGGCACCGAGCACAGTTATTTTTCTTCGCATTTCGGTTCCTTTATTCGTCAGAGATGCTAAATTAGGTGAGCCCCATTTAACATTCTCGTAGATTAGTCTGCCAAAATATTCTTTCTCGGTTTGAAAATTCAGTAAATACTCTAATAAAAAAATTTTTGTCAACTAATTTGTCAATATATGTCGCATGAGGATCAGTTATCTAAATTACGGATCACAATATTTTGTTGATATATATACATATATAGATATATAGATATATACACATACAAGGATAGATAAGATAGATATATATACACATATATATGTGTGATATATATAAGATAATATGAAAAGGATATACACATGACTTTACTAAAAATATGCATTTTGTGAAGTATACAAATAAAAGTTTCCGCAATTTACGTGTTCATAATTGATGAGTAATACACACATATGACATATGCACATATTGCTCAATTCTGAACATGTGGCACATATTTCTAATTGTTTGCTTTAGTTACCTCAGCATAAATCTTGATAACTGTTTTGCATAACAAAAAGTAAAAGTTGCAACTGCAAAGTGAATTATTACTCAGTTCATAAATCAAGATAAATATAAAAAATTTGAAATATATTGTTACTTATAGCAAAAATCTATCTTGCACGGTTGTATACATATCGGTTGTATAAAATTTTATATAACTTAAAAGATATCTATCAATAATCTCTATTAATAATCTTTTGTATGTAATCAGTCAGACAGATGTGTACATATACAATATGTTATAATATACATAACATGGTACATATTGCAGAGATTTCTACATTGTTTTGGGTTTTATATATTTATTTTTACTTAATAATCGCCAAATTATCGCAAAGAGAATATGTTATTATCTCTGCTTTTTATATTTTGAGAATTTAAGACCTGTTTGTTAATAAATTATATTACATATAATATTTTCTATTTTGTTACACATTAGAGAGATTACATATCTTTATAAATAGATATAAAATATAGTACTATTATGATTTACTGTCTGTGCAACATAAGTTTTTCTCATGAGCTATAATTAATGCTTGAGAAGTTTAATTCTCTCTATATACGTGACAACAACGTATAGAATTAGAAAGTATAATCTGTTTATTACGTATGTATAGGCAAAGTTTTACGTCTTTGTTGATACTTGTGTGAATGCTAGTCTTTTTTACACAAATCTTTTTCATTTAAATGTAAACTAGTTTTTTTATTTATATTAAAATATGCAAATTAGTTTTATATTTTAGGATGAAAAAGTAATTAAATAAAAATTATGAGTTCTTTTTGATAGAGTAAATTCTAAGAAATTAAATATAGATTTTTTTGTTGCAGATATATAATTTAGCTTCTTATTCTAATTAGTTGACTCATATTTCTGTTGAAGGTATAGAAACAGAAAGAGAGAGAGAGAAAGAGAGAGAGTATTTATGTTTTTTTTTGTAACATCTACAATTCAATATATATTGGAACCATGGGAGTGCTCACTTCTGTGAAACAATCGTCAGTGATACATCTTATGTTTGCCATTACATTTTTTACGTCCGGCTTAATAATCAACTTCTTCCAATGCATTTTATATTTTGGATTAAGGCCTTTTTCCAAGTATCTTTATCGCAAGATTAACTACTATCTTTGCTACTCCTTTTATTGTCGTAAGTTTTTTCACATTGTCTTGAATTAGAGTTTTAAAACGCAATGTTTCCGAATAATTAATACACATTTGTGTTTTCTTTACTCTTTCTTCAGAGTTAGTATTTATGGCCGAATGGTGGTCCGGATCGGATTTAATATTGTACATTGATAAGAATGACTTCGAGAAATATTACGGTAACGAGCACGGCTATCTTCTGATGAACCACAGTTACGAGACGGACTGGTTAATAGGTTGGTTATTGTGCGATCGCGTGAGACTGTTGGGCGTAAGTATTCTGTGTTAAACATGTACATTCACATCTCGATGCTAGAAGAGTCCATGAGAGACTGTGTGTTCGCAGAATTGCAAATCTTATGCAAAAAAATCGATACAATATATTCCAACATTGGGATGGGCGTGGAAATTCGCCGAGAGCATTTTCCTCGAAAGAAGTTGGGACAAGGACAGAGAGAAAATCAGGACTCAGATCACAGAGCTGATCGAATATCCCGACACGATGTGGGTCAGTTTCAGTTGTTTGTTTTATTTATTTATTTATTTATTTTTTGTCGAAGCAAGTTTTATACTGATTTCCATGAGCTTTACCTCTCAAAGTGTTCGATAGTCTTCGTTAAAAATTGTTAAAAATAACTCGGGGTTTGTGATTGCAGCTACTGCTCTATCCCGAAGGTACGCGATTCACGCCAAAGAAACTGGAAGCCAGTCAGAAATTCGCCATAGAGAAGGGTCTACCAGTGTTGAATTATCACTTAACGCCACGTACGAAGGGTTTCACCGCCAGCATTCCGCTTATGAGAGGTAAACCGGCCGCTATTTACGACATTCAAATAGCATTTAAGCCGTCTGATCCGGTAAAGCCAACCATGATGAATCTCCTCCTTGGAAAGCCTCTGGAAGGTCACATGTACGCTAAAAGAATTCCTATTGAGGAAGTACCTGAGGGAGACGAGGCGGCTGCCGAATGGCTGCAGAAACTCTTTCAACAGAAGGTACAGTCTGCATTTCTCATTGAGAAATAATTATTAAATTATTTTAGTTAAAGAGTTATGATTTCAGTAGAAATATATAGTCCTGCAAGTGATATAGCTGAAGGTATCTCAATTACATTTAGAAAGTTGATCGTTATACTCAAATAGACAACTTTACCAAGATGATTTATTACTTGGTTAAAATTTTGTTTGTTGTTCGCATTTTCACTGAAACACCGTAAGCTTGTCTCGTATTTGATTATCATTTAGAAATGCCGAAAATATTATAATAAGAATTTTCAAAGTTTACGATTAAACGGAACAGCACACGCAAAACCACATACCCCTCGAATTCAGTAGTTAATTTCGTATTAACGCTAGACATGAATTGTTGGCTATTGGTAGGATCGTATGACGGAGAGTTTCTATAAGACAGGCGATTTTTTTGCCACGAGCGGAGTGCCTAGGACAGAGTCGTTCAAGCTGAAAAGAAGATATTATTCCCTCATTAATACCATATTCTGGGCGGTAGTTGTCCTCGTACCAATGCTGTATTATCTTCTAAGGCTTCTTTTGTCCGGCTCGATCTTCTACTTTTCCATCGGAGTCGCAATTATCTTTTTATGTAAGTAGTATTATCCACCTCTCATTACTCTTCACCCGACTGCTACTTTAGATAGATCATCGTTCTTAGATGTCACATTTTCGAGCGTTTATCAATCTTAGTTACCGCTTTGTTAACTCGCGTCAGATTCAACTATGTGAATGCTGATTGCACAAGTCGCTTATTATTATTATTATTATTATTATTGTTATTGTTGTTATTATTATTATTATTATTATTATTATTATTCGGATATGTATTTACACCATTTGTTATGTGATACGGCTTTAAATCAGCAGAAACCTGATCTCGATGTACATTTAAATGCGCGAGAGGCTCGGATATAAAACAGGATAAGTGATATTCGACACACATTTCAAGAAAGCGCAACTTAAAGTTTTTTAGTCAGAAAAAAAATATTGTAAATTCGATATCGGTCAGAATGAAAAACTTTTTTTTTTTCGTGTAAAGAGCTTGTGAAACACGCAAGCCAGAAAGAAAAATTAAAGAAAGAAGAAGGTAGGAAAACATATCGAGTGTCGCTTATCCTGTTTTATACATCCAAATCTTTCATATATTTTTTATGGGAAAATAAAAATCGATTTACAGTTTATCTGCTAATGTACAAAACCCTCGGGATGTCGGAGATAAGCAAGGCCTCGTCGTACGGAGCGGGGAATACGGCCGAGGCGAAGAAGAGCAAATAATTTCCGAGCGACGTCTGAATGAAAGATGACTTCCGTTAAAAGTGTCAAAGATACTGAAGAAATATGATAATTCAGGCGGTTCACACAGAACAGGAGAGATGCAAAACTTTAAGAATAATTTAAGCAGATACGTATACATTTAATTTTTGTGTTTCTGTGCAATCCACAATCAGTGGACGAGAACGTGTTTTACCGTATGAATCATTGAACTTTATTAATGGTGGAATGCGCTTCTTCATACAAATCCCCTGTTCCCCACATTAATGTGACGCGAGAGAATGATCGAGTGTATGTGCACCACGTGCTTTCTGTCCCCCGCAAATTGTTTCGAGCATTCTGATATAAGTAGAGTTCAGTGGATCACCATGGATCAAATCCAAATTATACATAGATACATACGAAGTGCTTACATACATAAATAAATGTATGTAAGCATATATACAGTATGTGTACATATATATATATATATAATATGTATATCTGTACTATGATATTATATAATATTTACATATTTTTTTGTGTTTATATTTTTTTTTCTTACATATAGAGCTATTGTTATTGTTAAATAAATGATTTAACCCTATTGCGCCGTCAGAATTTATTTACATCCGAACGTGTAATTTGTTTCTATTCTTTTTGTTCAAGACAATTGAAAAGTAATACATTTTTAGGGATAATATATTTTTTTACAGAGATGGAGCATTAAGTTTCAGGCTTTTTGTAAGTAATAGTCTCGTGATGGCGTTCTTGGTAACCGCTGTACGGGCCCGCAACATAACCGATAACTCTGAGCTTTCCCTTCGGATCGTAAAATCCATATCGACCCTTCACGCTCCCGTCTTGGAGCCGCTCCTCCATTCTGTATTGCCGATTTTTTCTGCGTACACAAAAACGACATACGTCATTTCGATGTGATTATGCTTTCTTAAACAATTCGAGCAGTTATTAACGAATTGTTTTATCGATTCTACATGTATGCGACTAATTAAATTGTAAGAGAAAACAATATTTTTAGACCATAAACTTAATTCAAGAAAAGAAAGTTTACAGCGTAGAGAGAAAATAGATATGTAGAAAATAATTTATAGTCTTGTGTGAATATTGTATATATATAAACTTTGTTATTATCGGCATTTTTCTAATACTGTCTTTTTTTTTTTTTTGTTAACAAATATTTTACCTTGGTAGGTCATTTCACACTCACCCGTGTCCAGTGTCGAAACCGAATATGTACGTCCCCGGTCCCCGATGATTCCTTATTTGAAAATCTATCCGGCTTTCGTCCACCGATTGCTGTCTTTCATCATCCTTAAATTCTGCATCGGGATGTGACAGTGTCAATGTGTGGCCTCCATATGGCGATGTGACTTCTGCATTTGCGTTATTCTCGCCTACTGACAACATGATCGCGAACAAAAAGACTGTGAGAAGAAGCTGCAAGAAGTATAAACAAAATTTTCTATTTCTTTTTCTTTTTTCAATTCAATTAATTTTTCTCTCACGCGCGACGAACTTGTTAATTTTGTGTTGATTCGCGTCAACTATAAGTGTTTCACGCAAATTACTCAGTGAAATCTGTAGTACGACACGTTTAATCGCTTTCACATTTTCGCGCTCTGTTACTTCGTCGGATCTTATTTCGCGATCCCCCTACGCGCGACAACAAAAAGAAAAAAAACGCGCATAATAAGTTTATATTGTGTTCGGATGAGTTTTGTTCGATTAAAAAAAAAAACACAAAATTTTATTGCGAGAACGAGGAGACGAACAAGAGACAGACTTACGGAGCGTTCGACGCGCATTATAAATCTTTTTTGGCGGACAATTTACGGAGGACTGATCGGTCGAACGCGTCGAGGCTCGTGTGTTGTTCCCACAAAGCTCTCACTTTCCCTCCCGATTGATTGAGTTTTGTGTTTTTCCTCCTGACAACTCAATTGGTTTTTCTTTAGCAAGAACTTTTTATCCGTATAACAATGCTCGTGATGATTCGATCGATAATTGAAAGAATTGCGTAAGAAGAGTTGGTCGTGCGTGTCTTCACACATCCGGGATATGGAACAATCGATTTTGTTTCAGAGACAATTGTCAACTTGTCAACTCATCCTGTCAACTTGTCTCTCGTCTCGATTATGTGAGCGCATTTTTTTTCAGCGATTTACTTTATAAATACACGTTGCGAGCGTACATGTGAGAAATCGAAGAACAAATCTCTATCTGGAAGAAGATAGAATATTGCCTGTGTAAAATGATCAGACTGATCGTTCTGTGCGGCGTTTGTTTATTACTGACGGAGTCAGCGATCGTAAGTACTCAGAGTTGATTTAAATGAAAAACATATAAAATTGCATTTTTTTTTTTTTTTATCGATAACGAATTCACTCTTCTATTTATTTTATTTATTTATTTTTTTTTAATCGTTGTAGTCATTAAAATGCAGAAGCGGCGTTCAGCAAGTGAACGATCAGTTTCGGAAGATTGTGCGGGTTTGCAAGAAACGATCCGCGGGCGATGACGATTACAGCGACAATTCCGCGTCGAGCGATGACAGCAACAGCAACGAATCTTCGATCATGGACATGTTCGACACCAAGTTTTTCACAAGCGACAATAGCAAGTCCAACACGCAGTCGTGGAAGAATCAAAATAACAATCGGTAACGAGGCAAAAAGCGCGAAGAATCGAATTAATCGCGCGTTTTTTAATCGCATAATTTTAATTTCGATTGCGTGCGAACGTGTTAATAAAACATAAATAAATAACGTTAATGTGTAATCAAGGAACCGTGGGAATCAACAAAGAAACGTCGGCAACGACCAACGTTATTCAATCAATTACACGAACGGACAGTGGAGAAATACGCAATATAATCCCAATCGGGGTGTCAATATTCGCGACTTTGGTTATTCCGACGGAGGTGTCAGATCGAGTTACGATCAGACGTACAACAGCAACTCGCAGAACTACGACAAGAATCAACAACGATCCGTGAGCTACACAAGTGTCTTATAAAAAAAACCAAAGTTCAAGCTGATGTAACATGTGTGACTGTGTATAAATTTATTACTTCCTCTCTCTCTCTCTTATTATTTCTATGTCAACTTGAATTTATGTCGATACAAAATATCGAACTATTAATTATTATGTATATTATGCTTTTTTTTTTATTACAGTGCATCGTCCAGTGTGTTTTCAACGAATTAAATATGGTAAAATACACAAAGATTTCTCTTTTAAAATCTTAATCGGCAATCAGTCTTCTCAAATTTTGTTTACAACAGGTGGATCAAAGGGGATTTCCCGAGCAGAACTCGGTCGTACAGTTCACGACGCGTAACATACGTAATCCGGAGCTGCGAGACTTCGCGGAGGAAGCCGTCGTCGAGTGTTTCCGTTATCTTAATTTGGAAATGAGACAGGACAAATGTCAGTTCTCGCAGAATCTCCTATCCTGTCTGTCGGACAAAGGAAAAGAAGTACAAAATTTTATCGACCGACAAACGTCCGATATTCCTTCGATCGGTTTTGAACGTGACTTCACACTTTTTTTGTTTTTTTTTTCAGAGATGCGAAGATTGGGATAACTAGTGGTAACACGATCGCATTTCCAATGATGACGACAATCAGTTTCTGTAAAAAAAAAAAAAAAAAAAACTACGTAGCTGTTACGAGGCAACGCGGAGCGTTAGCGTGCAATAATTTAGTAGAAAGACTCATAATAAATTAACACGTTTAATTAAAATAATAAATTGTTTTTTAACAATTTATACAATCTCTCGTTCAGAGCGTAGATAAAGCGTAATTGTATTATCAGTTATATATATTTCTGTTTTTTTTTTGTCGCGCGCGAAAGCATTTTGAATTTTATCCCCCTTAAATACTAGATATACCCTTTCCTTTTTGCGGAAGGCACTACTATAAAATACAACGTCGCTTTATCGTGACGATAAAGATAATAGAAATTAACGCGATATTCAGGATATATATTATTGCATCCGTGTGGAGCGTGTTACTTCCTCTTCTTCAAGTTTTCGAATCGCTTCATCAGATCGTCGAAGTCAACGTCGTCGTTCTCAGATGGATTTTCGGACGGATCGTTGTTCTCCGTCGGCACTGCCGGAAGATCCGGGAGCTGATAGTTGTTCATCGGCATCTTCGATCTCGGTTGAGGTTTAGGCTTCTCGTCCGACTGCACGGAAGAAAACAAGAAAAATTAACACAACGCATTTTTAATTTTTCACTCCGTGAAAATTCGAAGAGGCGCAAAGCTTTTTTACCTGTTTGTTTAAATCGGGTGGAAAGTCCGGAGGTCGGTACGGAGGCGGCAAATCTTCCTCCTAATTAAGAAAATTTCAAATTCAGATGTTTAGCAAGAGAACACCGTTGTTGTTTATTGATCAGGCGGAACTCGTGTTGTCCGAGAATGCGAGTTAACTCACAGGTTTGTTCGAGTTGGCGTTGTCCAGAGGAATGTTGTACGAAAAAGCAGCGGGACTGAAAGCGGTATTCTGATCCTTTTCAGAAGGCGGAGACGTCGGGGACACAAATCCTATGGAAGAAGCGTCTTTGGCTGAATCCTGAAACATCACAACGTTTTCTCTTAGTGATGTAATAACTGGAAAAAAAAAAAAAAAAACTGAAAAAAGCAATACTGTTTTTTGTCTTTTTGGAAAAGTACTCCAAGTTATTACCGTGCTCGAGTTGAATCCGGGATCCGGTAGGAGCGGCGCCTGTGGAAAACCGATGAAGCCAGGCGGATGAGGTATTCCTCCGCTGGCGGTGTCCAGATTATTCCTCGACTCTCCTCCTATGTCTATCAGCATCGCGTCCTGAGCCTCGGCCATCACCTGCGGATCCGGCTCGTATTCCACGTTGTAATTTTTGGCGATTTCGATCAGATACTTTTCCACGAGAAGTTTCGACGGTGACTGCACGCTCATTTTATGCTTCAGCTTCTCCGATATGGTCTGTATCGCCTCCTCACGGCACGCTTCCGTATACTGTCTGCCGTATTTGGACGTTAGGATATCCGCTATGACCTTAATTTCTTGCACATCCGTCTGGATACGAGGTGCCGCCCAAATGATGGTGGATATGGCCTCGGCCAAACCGTCATCAAGATTTCTGAAAATTTATATGTACATCAAATGATTAAATCCTGCGACTACAAGTATACAATCCTTGTGTAATTGCTCCATGAGCAATTTAAATTTCACCTCAAACAATACACTTTCTGTTGCCAGATAAAACACTGTCGCGAATGATAAGATAAAAAAAAAAAAAGACCTAATGAGTGAATAATATAAGTAATTAAAATAAAGTAACAAGCAATTATTCAAATTAGCGCAAATTACATTTAAACAATGTTTCGTTTTGCTTTCAAATCTCACACAGGCCTACTACAATTATTGCGTTTTGATCGCAGAGAGAATTGTGTTTTGCCGTTACTTACTTCATTTGCTGAATGAGACCGAATCGCGCCAGGAGCAGGTCGCAGTACATCTCCAGGAGTTCCATCGCTTCCACCATGTAGTCCTCGCGGATGATGTGCTCCACCCGGATCTTCGCGCGCTCGGTCTTCCCGGCGGCGATGTAATCGGCGATCTCACGTCGCGCCTTCTGCGCCAGCTCCGTCTTCTTCTTCTCCAACAGTTTCAGACGATTAATCGCCAGACGCAGATGCGTCTTCAGCTTCGTGTAATTCGGCCCGCTCGAGAACATCTTCGGTGCGTGTCATCCACTTGGTTAGGACTCTTTATTGCGTCGCAACACTTAAGAATCCGATCTCACAATTATCTCATTTTAAACGTCAAAGAGAGAGGTAATGAGAATCAATCCATCTCACGCCTAGATTAGAAGAACGACAGCTTCTTCTATGAAAATAACCTTCTTGTTAATCACACACGGATGAGATAACCCTTGCGTGGACACGACGTAAAGATCAAGTTGATTTGTTTGCGCGTGTGCACGCGTGATAACAGATCGGTGGTTGCGTTTGGTTCCGAAACGTCAATCCTTAAGCCTATGTCACACTACAAATTAGGATTGAGATTGGATTGCAATTTGGCCAATCAGAGCAAAGATCACTAAATGTAGGATTGGTTTTCTTTTTTTTGATTGGTCAAATTTCAATCCAATCTCAATCCCAATCCGTAGTGTGACATAGGCTTTAGTAAACGGGGTTATTATAGGACCGTTTCTCATGGATCTAAGATACATCCGGGAGCATGTTCCAATCAGAGACAATGTGTCTTAACCGTTCGGTCAATGGGTGCGTTCAGACAACTCAACGGTTGAGAGATCGTCACTTATGATAAGACTATTCTTCAAAATCTGGTGCGGTTCCAAAAGTATGATCCAATCAGAAGTGATTATCTCTCAACCGTTGCGCAACTGTTGAGTTGTCTGAACGCACCCATTTGGGGGATCTGTGTGTCAGACGTCACAGCAATCGGTTCATATCTCTATCGTGTTCATATCTAATCTATGTACATGTTTGCTCATGTATGAGCCATTACTCAGCAGTAATGAAAGATCGAGCCTGCTGCAACGAGAGTATATCTAAGCGGTGGGGTACGCACACAAGCAAGAATCCGTCGTCCGTGAGGACGGTTTTCGCTTGTGTACGCGCCCTCACCACTTCGATACTCTCGTTGCAGCGAGCTCGATCTTTCCACCAGTGTTACTCAGCAGTACTCGACATATCGCCCAACATTGTTGTAGAGATCACTGACTGGTCATGTAAATATATCATTATATATGACAACGATTACATATGCCATTCTCATATTAACGTTACGTTCTGTCATTCAATGTCAATCAGAAAATTTATAGTTTATGCGATATATATTATAGATTTTCAGCACTAATAGCGGAACGCAGCCTGATAGGTGTGTTGTTTATCTCCGCATTTCGAATCGTCATCGTCACCAATCGATTCTTCTCTGTCGCAATCGAAAAAAAATATTCTCTCTCATATTTTGCCAGTTTTTGCGGAAAATTATGTGTTCTTCTATAAGGAACAAGGTAAACACAGAATTTCATCACGTCATTGTGTTGACACACAGTCTTTTTTTTTTTTTTTGAATTTATGAAAATTGTTACTTTCTTACGTGTATGTAAATTTATGTAGTTTCGTCGTACAAGAATGTGACAGTGTATTATTTTGAAATTAAATGTACAGGCAGTGATGAAAGATTTTTTTTGACCGGCCAGCACCAAGAGCACCGAGGTGGTGGGAACCACTGAGAGCACGCACACAAGCGAGAACCGCCGTCCGTGTGAGTAACGTCACGCACACGGACGGCGGTTCTCGCTTGTGTGCGTCTTTCAGTAGCATCCACTTTTGGTGCCGGCCGGTCAAATCTTTTTATCACTGTACAGTACAGGCTTTTTATTAAAAAAAAAGTGATTTTGTAATTTACATATGTTTAGGAGCCTTCAGAATCCGAGGATCTGATACAGCATACCAAACAGATATGTTGCACGTTTTTAAGATTTGTAATAATACAGCTGCATGTTCTGTTTGATTGTATTGTGGACTTTATCTTTGGCCTGTACTATGATAAGAAAGCGAACAAAGTACCACCTGTGGAACAGAAGTTACTGTTGGAAAGTGCAGTTTCTTTAGCTGAAAAGATCAGGTTGAGTATTGACTTAAATTTTTTTTTTTTTTTTCAATTAAATTATAAATGTTTGTTTTCTTTAAAACATGTTTGTGTACACTGTATATAGCAGCCTCTTTTGTTACGTACATGATAAGATAATAAAATACAAAAAATAAATAAATACAAGATTTATCTGATTTGCTCATGAAGGTCTGATAATAACAGTATTTCTATTATTGCCACTCAATATATTGAGATGTTATTGAGTTATTTGTTTTCAAATGTTTGATAGACAGTATATATATATATATATATATATAAAATGACGTGGTGTATGATATTTCAGGACAAAGCAAGTTACATCGGAGGAAGTGGTGGGAGCTTTCATTGCAAGATGTAAAGAAGTAAATTGTTTGATAAATGCAATTGTGGTGGAGAGATACGAACCGGCTTTGGAAGATGCAAAGAAGGTGGATTTAATGATACAACAAGGCATCGATCAGGAAAAAATAAAAAACGAAAAACCGTTTCTGGGAGTTCCCTTCACCACGAAGGAGAGCAATCGAGCTGAAGGTTGGCAAAATCCGTCAAAAAGTAATCCATATTGATTCGACAAAGTAATTGCAACAATTGTTATCGATTGTTTTGTTAGGATTAATCCATTCTCTCGGCTTGCTCTGTCGCCGAAACCATTGCTGTGAGGACGACGCCGCGACAGTTCGCTTGTTGAAAGAGGCTGGTGCGATTTTAATCGCAAAAACCAATGTACCAGAACTGAACTTATGGACGGAATCGAGAAATCATCTATTTGGACAAACAAATAATCCTTACAACACTACCAGAACAGTAGGAGGCAGTAGTGGTGGAGAAGGAGCTCTAATGGCAGCAAGCGGTACTCCGCTCTCTCTTGCTAGCGATATAGGAGGCTCTACTAGGATGCCTGCCTTTTTTAACGGATGTTTTGGCCACAAACCCAGCGAAGGTTAATATTAAAAATTTTTTGTATTGATTATTTTTTTATTATCTTATCTAAAAAGTTTTTATATATATCCGATAATTTATTTAAATTTTGATGTTATGTGTCAGGATTGATATCTGTATACGGAATTGGATTACGTGATAAACATTTTCTGGATACAATGGTGGCAGCTGGACCAATTTGCAGACACGCTGAAGATATCGCACCTGTTCTAAAGGTACTGATTGATAAAAATCCCAAATTTCAACTGGACGACCGGCTGAAAAATTTGCCCATGTATAAAAACGGGCCCAGATTAAGATTCGATGAGTCGGTGAATGTGAAAGATCTAAAAGTGTTCTATCAAGAGAGTTCTGGAGATTTGAGAGCGAGCAAAGTGACCAAGACCATGCGGACCACAATCAGAAAAGCTGTAAAACATTTAGAAAAACTCACCGGTTCCGCAACAAAGGTAGAAATCTAGTGATTCACAGAATGCTACATATTTATATGCGCACATGTGAGATAGATTTTGATGTTTAGATACAAAGAAATTTTTAACACGTGCTTAAATTGTTATGTTTGTTACAGATTAAAATACCGGGTTCTGAGTACAGTTTTAAACTGTGGAGATATTGGATGACTCGCGAGAACGTCAATTTCAGAGAAAACATAACAGGTGGGAAGGTAAGGATTAAGATAGGATTGCATTTCATATATAACACGTAATTTTGTATAAATATCAGTTGATGACATTAGAATCTTATTAATCTTATGTCTTGCAATATTCGTGCTTTCTCCTCAAAAGTCACGCGTCTCGTCGTAACTTTCTTACTTAAAAAGTATTCAACATTTTGCAGTATTCTACGAGCGCGATCAGAGAATTAGCCAATCTGCTCACTGGAAATTCGCAACTGACGGCAGCTGCTGTTTTTAAATTGGCAGACGAGGACTTTTTTCCGGAGGTGAACGCGGAATGGGCAAAAAGCGTCACCGCGAAAGCGAAACTATTCTTAGCGGTAATTATTGCAGGAAGAGCAAAAATTAACAGCAAATTAACAACTTGTTAACTTAGCACTTTGTTAAAAAATTCTGTTAGATGTTTGTTGACATGTTGCACACATTCATTCATTCGGATACTATAAAAATCTGTCCCCACAGGAGACATTGGGGGACAATGGAGTGTTGTTGTATACTTCAGCTCCCTTCCCCGCGAGTTATCATTACTCCGCATTTCTCAGACCTTATAACTTTGGCTATTGGTGTTTCTTTAACGTTTTGCGGTTTCCAAGTCTCCAAGTGCCGATGGGCTTGGACAAACAAGGCTTGCCAGTCGGTATTCAAGTAAGAATCTCGACTCAAATATTATTTTGAAGTGTATTTTTTGCTCAATAATAATTCTTTTTTTGTATTTTTAATATTTAGAACTTTACGACACAATGTTTCTAGTGGAGTTAATTTGTAATGTAGTGTCGCCCTCGTTATTTTATAGTTTTCAACATTCGCGTAACGTTCTCTTTAAAATTGCAGGTGATAGCAGCTCCGTACAATGATCATCTGTGTTTAGCGGTTGGCAGAGAACTCGAGAAAGAGTTCGGTGGTTGGGTTCAACCGTAATGTCCCTAAAGAAGATTGACAAGTCATGAACAAAGTAATCTTGGCATTTACAACGCAAAATAACTTGGACTCCAAAGTAATTAACTTGGGTTTTGGAAAAATATCTTGGGAATTTTATATCTCTTAATATAAGTGTTCTGTTATATCTTAGTTTTCTTGATGTTTGTTACAAAGTTTGTTATAAAGTCTTCGAACAAAAATATTTTTTCAAAGATTACGTATATATATTAATCTTGCGTGGTATGTATTAATCTTACATGTATAATAATTTATGTCATGTTTTGAAATTGATTTCGATAAAATACATAGCACGCTACTCAGAATTGCAAATATCTTATTTTTACTTTATTTAATTGAAATTGTGTGTACGTATATATATTTGTGTTTTGTGAATCCTACCCTATATATACATCTGTGTACAAAAGGTTAAGAGTTTTGGAGTTCCCCTCCAAGACGCTGCTAATTTCTTCCTTCTCTTTCAATTTATCAATTGTCGAAACTTTCGCGCACCACAAACGTCAAGTTGTTTTACGGTAAAAAAAAAAAAGAAAAAAAGACAAAACCTTCGAAACTTCCTAGTTGTCACCCCGTCGCGCGGTTCTGACGGATGTTGTGTAGTAGTTCCGTACGTAGAGGTGGAGTTGCGCGACAATCGGTCGTGAGGTTCGTTGCCGCGGTAAGGAAAGAGAGGTTGTGTGTGTGTGCGTGCGTGTGTGGGCAGTGCCGCCTCGCCGCGCAACAACGACCGGGGGGGGGAGGAGGTGGGAGTCGCTCGCTGCCGTTGCGGTGAGGTATGTCGCGCGCGACCGCTCCATTCACTTGTCGGACGTCGTCGCGATCGTGCGTGTCCGTTCCGTTGATCCCCGCATCCTCCACGGACCCCGTGTCCCTCCCGTCCCTTTCCCTTCCCCCGCCGCGATCACGTCGTCGACTGGCAGCGGCGCACACTGCGGCCGCGACTTCTTTAAAAACTCGGTGATAGACACAACCGCGCGATTTTACCCGCGACCGCGGACGAAGATCGGTGCTTCGACGAGTGCGTGGTATAAATTTCGCGGGACCGGAGTGTGTTGTCGTTGCAACGAGAGCAACGTTTGCTCGGTTGAAAAGTGCAATTCGCTGCCGCCGCTCCCATTCGTGCGGTTGATTCCCTCTTTTATACGTACACAGACGTGCGCGCTCTCTCACATACACACACAAACACACAACACACACATACGTGAGAAGGATCTACGCTTCGCGATCCACGGCACGAGAGATGACGGTCGCTGGAAAGGTGAGCCTTGCCGGATCTAGCTGTCGATTTCTTATTGTGTGTCGTCGTGCGATTCTCGGACAAGTAACGCATCCGGAATGTAATGTCCGAGTCGCGCGGGTCATTGAAACGTGGAATTTGTTTGTTTGTTATTTAAAGATTGTTGAAAATTGTGTTATTTTTAGAGATTTTTAATTTTTATACGCGTATGTAATGTATATCTTTCTGTCTTTTTCTCTCGACTTCTTTGGAAAAGAGAACGTTTTATTTTCAAACATGATTGTTCTCATTCACAGAACTTTGTTTTCTGAGAACATTGAGGTTTTCCTCCTTCTCCTCCTCTGGTTCGTTCAACTTTCTTCGTTTCAACGATTGTTCGTTAATTTGTTACCTGATGATGACGTTACGCGATCCCGTGTTGACGCGCCTCTTTTTATTTTTTCGAATTTACATTGTTGAGAAAACGATGAGATATCGAGAACGTTAGACGTGTCCGGGAGATCTCTTTTGCTCGTTTTAATTTAATCAAGAACGTAAACACGCGCGTGAGAAAAAATACATCTAGAAAAGTCTCTTGACGCGCGAGAAAAACGGCCTTCTCCGCACAATTTTGCACGCTTTTTCTAAATTCTTTTCTCTATTTCTACGCTCGTGCACAACAAAAGAGTAGCGAGGGGGGGAGGGGAGGAAAGGAAGGGACTGTGTAATTATTCTACCGGATGCTAAAATTTCTCAACACGCGCGCGCGCGCGCGCGAGCGCTCGCGCGCTTTCGCCCATTTTGTGGCGTGATGATGTTACATACCGTAATCGGTCTGACGTTAAACGTGACTATAATTATCCGGGCGATTAGCTGTCATCCGGTTTATAATCGAGTCATCGCTCGGTCGCTAATTGGTCGTTCGATATCGCTGATAACGGGGCGCGCGCAACACAACAACAAGCGACCCCGGGGGCTGTGAGTTTTTCCTCGTAATGTAATATAAGCGCGTCATTCGCCTCTCACGCGTAAACAATTTTTGTCACGCGCTTGAACAAACGATAACGATATATATCGCTCGAAGACTCCTTGAGCTCGCGGTTCTCACGCGGGATTCGGGAATTTCTCACTTTTAATTCACTTATCACATAGATACGAATCGAGAGAGAGAAAGAGAGAGAGAGAGAGAGAGAGAGAGACAAAAAACGATAAAGTTCCTCAATGTTCTTGGTGAAGAAGAGGAAACGATTGTCGCTTCGAAATGAATTAACGAACGTTCTTGCCGGCTCCCTTACTCACGGCAAGAACGGAAAAGCGAGGATATATGTACGTGTTCCCGGACGTAATGCATAATATCCGAAACGAAAAAAGAACGAATCGGCGCGCGGTCGATCGCTCGCGCGCGCGCGATCTCGGTGAACGTGCCGCGTGCGCGCGCGCGCGCGCGCTCTCGAAGGCTCGCTTCCGGGTTGGAATACTTGACGTTCTGGCCTTTCACGCAATCGCGAGAGAGTACGGGCAAAGTGGACAGCCGCGCGCGCGCGCGCGCGATCGGTTCGCATTAATCATTCGAAACTCGGCGGTTCGCACCGGTCCGCGCTCGGATTGGAAGTGTGTCGAGTCCGGTTGAATCTCGCGCGCATACACACACACACACACACACACCACACCTTTGATGAGGAATAATAAGCGCGCAAGAGACTATACCGCGCGCACAAACGAGCGGATGTTGTACGTTCTCTCTTTCCGGGGGGGACATCGATCGATTTTCAATCGAGAAACTTGTTGCTAATCCGATCGATCCCCGAAGTCTCGCGTAAAACGAGGGACGGGGGGGAAACCTGAATTTTATATCACAACGTTGCGCTTTTGACACATCGTCACCAATAAATATAACTCGCACGCGCGCGAAACTTTTTTTATCATTTCGGTGTAATCGCACAAGTGAAAATTATCTTCAAGTCGCGTAACACAGACGACGACGACAACTTCGCTCGTCGGCTTTGCTCATCGCGAAGAGTTTCTCCATTGATATTGACCCACTTAGTCCCAATGCACTCCCGCATATTTTCTCGACGTCGTCGAGACGTTATTATGCGAGCGATTCCGTATATATATATACACACACACACACACACACGTATACATCGTTTCGAGAACTTTTTTCCAACCAAAAAAGAAAAAAAAAACGTCAACCACGGCGTCGGAGATGAATGAACGTTCTTTTTCTTCTCTCGCGTTACGCACGTCATAAAAAAGAAAACCGTTCGCGTTTCGATGATGATAAAAAAATACGGACGTTTGAATGTTCCGCGAACGTATTTTTTTTTTTTTTTTTTTTTTTTTGGCTGGGTGATTAATAATAAAGTAACGCGATGAGAGGTGACGGCGCACGAGTAAATAATATTAAATGCATTTTTTGTTTATATGGTTTTTATAGCGAAGAGAGAGGAGAAACAACAAACCTTGTGTGTAACGTTGAGTAACGAATGTAACTCGCAAGTGAATGAAAAATGTCGTAATTGTTGGAAATACAAAATACGTGAGACGAGTCGAAAATGAAGTTACAAAGTATATGACGTAGAGATTGTGCAAGATCCTTCTTTCTCTCTATCTATCTATCTCTCTCTCTCTCTCTCTTCTGTACGATATATAATACATATATGCGTACGCGCGCGTATCCTGTAACACACATCCTATATAGCCTGACTTGCGCGCGAGCCGACATCAGAATAAATTAGTTGGGGTTTGATGATATACCGGTATCTCTCCCGGACCGCGTCTCTTCCTTCTGTTTTTCTCCTCGCCGTTCCTTTTCTTTTTAACGTGTCCTCAGCGCGAACGCGTCGCGGAACCAGTTTCGGGAATATTTGAAGACGGACCGCAGCGCACACATTGTGTGTGAAAAATACTTCACTCCCGTATACAAACGTTGTAAATAATAGACAAGATCTGAGGAAACAATATAAAAAAAAAGTAGTGATTTGGAAAAGGAAGGAGAGGAGGAAGAGAGGGACGCGCAGACACTGCATCCTTTCTTCTCACATTTTTAATTTTGTATTTTCCACGTTATATTGCCATTATTTAAAAAAAAAGTTCAATTTTATGAGAGTACAATGATCAAAAAATTAATTCGCACAATTTTAGGTGTGTGTGTGACTGTGTGCATATACAAACCACTCGATGTGTGTTCGTTAAAAAGCGAATGATAAATGTCGCCGGGGGAGAGAACGCGCGGGAGAGAAAGTATGGCAGAGCGACAAGAACTTTCTTTGGGAAAATCGTCGTCTTCCGGTTGATCTATCTTTTCACGGACTTTCTAACAGAATTATTGCGCTGTATACCTTGTATTAAAAAAAAACCATTACGCGCGCTTCACGGTGGTCACGTTTCTGTGCCTAGTCTCGCACGCCGCGCCGAAGAATTCGCGCGCGTTCCGAAAAACAATAAAAATTGTTGCGTGGTGTTTTTACACACGTAAAAAAAAAAAAAAAAAAATTCTCGCTAACAACTTTGATCGCGCGAAAGAGACGCGAGAGATTTGATTTTGTCGCGTCTTGGAAATTTCGACATCAAAACAATTACGCGCTCAGAAAGAACCCGAAACGAAATCTCCCGGCAAATCCCATGACGCAACACACCGCGACCACAAAAATGCAAGTTGAGACGACGATTCATTATATGGCACTTTAATAACACTTAGAGAAGAACTTTTATAAAGACTGGGTCTGTGAAGTCCACGCGACTTTAAAAAAATCCAATATTTTTTCAATTTCTTTCTTTTTTTTAATCAAAAGATTGAACGACTCTGCGTCGATAAAAAAAAAAAAATTAAACAAATTGAAAAACTTTAGTAGCTTCGAAGATATAAGCGAAAAACAGAACGAATTTTTTCTAGAAACGTTGATGCGCAATTTCTGAGTGGGTCTGGGAGACCCATGTTTTCGGAGTTCGATTTAAAATTGAACATATTATATTATTTGCAGAGAGAATTAACAATTTAAAATATTCCGTGAAATAAGTAATGTTTTTAAAAATTTTACGTATGCATTTTTACAATAATTATATATATAAATTTTAATTACATTGTTTTTTGCACGTATAGTGGTTTTTTACCTGTTGCGCGTAGTGTCTCTCACCTGTTGTCGTCGCGCGTTTTGCAGGCGCACACGATGCGAAACATTTTGTTGTCGCTTTACACCTGTAACGTTACGTCGTTCTGTCGCGCCGCCGCCGCCGCCGCCGCCGGTCGGAGCATAGGCGGCCCTGATAACCGCTACACGCGAAGTCTTTCTCTCTTGCCCTCGCGTCTCTCTGCTTTCACCTAGATCTCCGCTAATGGTTACATCCGCCAACCTGGGAGAGCTATGCCCCGTTTACGATAATTTCTTGAACCGGAGACGAATCGTGCGCGCGCGCGCGCGCACACACACACGCAAATTTTCTCTCATCTTCGAACCGAACCCGACTTTTATTACATCACACAAATACAATCCAAAAAAAAAAAAAAGAAAAATGTACAAATTTAACGCATCTTCGCGTTTGCGATAATAAATATTGCGAAATTATGCAGTTCGTGTGTGCGTTCGAAAATAAATGAACTTCGAAATTATTGCGAATCGTTTTTGCACAGTTTGTTTCTCGCTAAAAATTCGTTAATTTGTTTAATTTATATTTGCGATATCGCGTTTCTTCTCTCCGTTTGTGTGAGACGCGCAATCCACAAACGTGCACTCGATCAGCGAGCTAATTCGAACGAACATAATTGGGTCACCGCTGATATTCGACGACGGAAAAGTGGATGCAGTAATATATATATATGTTATATATATCGCGGGCTAGGTCAAACCTGTAAAAATCTAACGAGGACTCGGTTAAGTAACGGAACGTTAAACGAGCGATAGAGGAAATAGAACCGAGAGTCAAGTGGAGTATAGATTGCTTGTTATTTGCTTGTCGACACTGTGGCCGGTGCAACTTGCAAATCGCTCGTTTCCGCGTTGTTTCGCCATTTATTGCCACCTATCGCGCAAACAATCGCTCTTCTAAATCCAAAGTATCGCTGATTGTGATTACTTATTTATCATTTTTATTCAATTTGCGGTTGCTCCGTGTTGATACATATTTTCTCACTCTTTCTCCCCGGTTTCTCATTTTATTAAAGAATTTTCTTTTTTGTTGCGTTCGTTTCAGAGATACGTGGACTGTACAGTTCTAGGAGCAAATAGCATGCCGGACGCGGAGGACTCGTCATACGACAGCGACTACGAGGCCGAGGACGCGACAGCGACCACGGCGACGGCAACAACGACGACAACGACGATGACAACAACAACAACAACGACGATGTCGGTGACGCGACGTCCGCGTTCTACGGAATCATCGCAGGTGTCACATCCGGCGGCACATTCGGACGTGTCTCGCACTACCTCCGACACTTTGGCGGCCGAGTTCGCCGAGTACGTCACCATCCAGGGACCGTCCCCTACGCAGAGTCCAGGTAAAAGTCCCGTCGAGGAAACTTGAAAAAAAAAAACATGAAGATCACTCAAAATGTGAATATACTTTCGTATATCGATAAACAATTATTTCCCTTCAGGTTACATCGCTCGCGTGGAATTCGCTTTGAAGCTGGGCTACACCGAAAGATTGGTACAGGCGGCTCTACAGAAGCTCGGACCAGATCCGGGTCAGAACGAGCTGTTGGCCGAGCTGATCAAGCTCGGAGCGACCTGTTCTCCGAAATTCAACGACAGTTCCGAAGAACAGGACGGCGCATTGGACGCTGACGCGGGCACGGACAGGAGCGGGGAGTCGATCTTGGCGTCGACGATGACGGCGGCGACGACAACGACCACGACGACAACGACGATGACGACGAACACAATCACGTCGATTGATTTGAGGCCCGTTGTCATCGACGGCAGCAACGTCGCCATGAGCCACGGCAACAAGGAGGTGTTTTCCTGTCGCGGTATCAAGATCTGCGTCGACTGGTTCCGCGCCAGAGGTCACAAGGAGATCACCGTTTTCGTGCCCAAGTGGCGAAAAGAAGCTTCTAGACCGGACAATCCGGTCGTCGATCAGGAAATACTGAGCGAACTCGAGAGAGACCGCTTGCTGGTGTTTACACCATCCAGGTTAGTGCAGCTTATACTTCGGGAAGATTGAGCTGATTCGTTAAAGTTCTTACGTACGTATATTCGCTGCAGCAGAATTATTTTGAATGATGACGTCAGAAGCAAGAAGACACGCGCCTAAAATTGATGCAATGCGCATTAAAATATGTAACGAGAGTTTTATTTCAATACGCTTCTTTTTGTTTGAAACAAGTCCTTCAAATTGATCAACAATCGTTTATTAATTTTTTATCGTGAGGATAAAAGCAAATAAATAAAATTACACGCGCGTAAAAAGATAAAGTACAATTTTACGGTGAGAGATTGGTCCAAAAACAGGACGTGTAGTTATTTATTAAAATTAAAAGAGGATAATTTAATTTTAACCGAGAGAACAAAGAGAGAGAGAGAGAGAGAGAGAGAGAGAAAGAGAGAGAATTACGACACGAGATTTAAAACCGAGAGAACGTCAAGAGCGGAGATATCTCTCGTTTAGATTCTCCACCAGACTTGCTTTGCCACCGACTAATATTATCAGGAGCTGGAATAACCGGCTTCACGCATTGATCTATCGCGCGGACTCAAACAGTCTCAAGGATTTTCCATCTCCCCTTTTCTGCTTTTTTTCTTTTTTCTTTTTTTTTTTTTTTTTCGTCTTTTTGCTGCTCTTCTCGGTGTATCTCGCTCGCAGCGAGGTTACGGAAATCGAATCGTTTGATTTCGCGAATCGCGATAATAATTGTGTATCAAGAGAACGAGAATGCAAATTGAGAGAAAAAACGTTTTACAAACACGAAAGAAAAAAAATTGTTCGTCAAATCAATCGACACATTAGAATTCTCTAGTCGGACGTGTGTATTGGGCGCGATGTTAATTTTATGTGATCCTCGTTATATTTATTTATGATGAAAACATAAATTTTTCTTCAAGTGTTCTATGTGCGTTCGCGACTTACACGTGCCTTGCTCGCAGATTGGTGGGCGGGAAGCGGATGGTGTGCTACGACGACCGATATATTCTGAAGCTGGCCGCGGAGGTCGACGGTATTGTCGTCAGCAACGATAACTATCGGGATCTGGCGCAGGAGAATCCGGAATTCAGACGAGTGGTCGAGGAGAGAATTCTGATGTACAGTTTCGTGAACGATCGATTCATGCCGCCGGACGATCCGCTCGGAAGAAGCGGACCCACTCTGGAGAATTTTCTCAGGACAACACCGAGAAGAGTCGATCCCGCGCCTCCGTGTCCCTACGCCAAGGTAATTTGATTTTTATTTTCTCTAGTGTGAGAAAAAAAAACAAACATTTTCAACGAATGAAAAAAAAAAAACAAATGCGCGTTTCTCATCAGTGGGAATAAAAAAATCGCGAACGTTCTCGTTCGTTGTGAATTCTTTTGTAGAAATGCACGTACGGTAACAAGTGCAAGTTCCGGCATCCCGAGAGAGGTTCGCATCCGCACAAATCCGTGACGGAACGACTGGTCGAGCACGCGCAGCGACACTTACAGGCCCGCGGGCCCAGTTTGAGTTTGCCGTTACCGTCCACCAACGTATCGGTTTCTTCGCAACATCCGCCATTGTGCAAGGCCAGATCGAGCGTGCCGCCGAGCGTTGTTTCATCCTTGTCGTCCGTTCCAAAGAGCAAATCGGTAGAAAATGTTACGTCAGATTTACCCGTAACTAGTCCCGCCATATACAGCCAGCAAATGACCTCTACACAGAACCCCGAAGGTAACAATCCGTCAAAGAACAACACGAACAACTCGTTATTGTTTATAAATTATTTAACAAGATAATATACAAAGACCGCTATCTATTATTATGTATATTATTTATATATTCTTCAATAAGTTATTTTGTATAAATTTCGTAATAAAATTTTTATTTTGCTTAAATATAATCATTAAACAACTTAGCTCTAACGAGAGCCTCGTGTTTTTACTATATTTCTACAGTGAACTGGACTATGTCGAGAGTCAACAATTCCGAGCCGGAACCGGGAAATATGCATCGTAAATTGCAACGACAATTAACTTTGAACCCGTCGTGCGATCCGCGGCTTTATCGGCTCAGACGATATCAGCAGCCACAACAGCGAGTTAGTCAGCCGCCGCAACAGCAACAACAATCGTCAGCCGTCGCTTCTTCGCGTTCCAACATGCAACACCGTCCGTTGACAAGACACACCAGCAACGAGTCGTCGTATCCAGTCACCGCCATAAGGTACAACCAATCGATTTGAAAATTTATTTGTAAATTGAATTTATTTTTTTTTTTTCTCCCAATTTTTTCAACAAAAACTAATACAAAAATATTATATAATATAAATCAGCTCGCACGTTTTTGAAATATCTGTGATTTCAGTTGGGACCATCCGGATCATCTTCAGCATCATCACCAGCACGTAACGCGCATAGCTTCCGCTCCGGACTCTTACATGGCCTGGCCGCCACACGGCACCGCTGTCATGCCACCGTCGCGGGTTCAGAGGCTCGGCACTTCGGATCCTCAGCTGAATCTGCTGCCTGCGTCGTCGCAGTCCGCGAACCTGCACATACCCTGGGGAACGCAGGTGCAGGACGCCCGACGTCGCTTGCACTACCATCTCGCCAACATTTTTCCGGAAGAACAAGTGCAGACCGTGATGGCGCTTCATCCCCACGAAACCGACCCGCAGCAGATTTGCGCCGCCATTCTGGCAATGTTTCCGAAAAATTAGATAATCAACGCGATCGCGAATTACACGCGAATTAATCGCTTTCCGAATATTGACTCGCTTTGGTCTACGATATTATTTCTTTTCGCGTGGATATTACACACAACAATGTTACAAAATAAATATATTTGCGGAAGACGAGATACTTCGGCAATTGGCGGAAAAACTACGCGTTAAAAAAATTCCAATTGATCGAAACGGTCACGGATTGATTCTTAGGATTTGGAAGCGTTTTTGGAACGTTTGCATGTTTAAAAGTTTTTACGATGTCAGATCGTAAAAACCTTTCAGCGCGTTTTCCTCTTGCTAACCGAGAGCTAGCAATATTTTGTGACAGAGAACGCGAGAGATGTGTGACAATTAACAATCCAGATAACGTAAACAAAGAATCTTCGTAGAAACTCGGACGTCTTGTTTAGACGTTTGCGTGGGAATAAATAATGGAAAAAAAAAAGAAACGACAACTGCGCGTTTACGAGCGTGTTAGCTTAGGGCATTAAAAAAAAAAAAAACGAAAAAACAAAAAAAAATACGAGTGTTCGTTATTACATTATTCGCGGGGAAAACAAAAAAAACGGGTGAGAGGATCTATACTTATTATCTCTACTTTAAATACCATAATGAACAAAAGATTTGTTATCGATGATCCATCGTCTCACATTGAGCCGATCGACTTTCTATCTTCTTGACTACAAACTCGCCAAACGTCATCTCGCATTTCACCGATCTGTATATTTCCCGAACCGGGAAATTGTTGCAAACTTTTTTTTTTCTTTTTTTTTTTTTTCTCGTTATTAATTCAGAAAACTAGAACACTTTTGCACTTCGCGCGCGAGATGATACTGTGAGTGGCGGTTGTTCGCATATAGCGGCTGTGAATTATGAAAAGCCTGTATGTATACACACACATGCATAGTTAATATATATATGTATATTGTAGCCGTTAAAAATAATGCCTGAAGTGCAGACGATTTTTTAACGTGATAGGGGGATAAAACTTTTTTTTTGCACGTACGCACGCGATGAAATAAAAATATACATCTTCTTTTTTTTCTCACGTCACAAACACGACAAAAGTTTTTTCCTCTGTCATATCGAATCAATAATTCAGGCGTTATTATACCGCGGCATTTTACGTATAACAGCATCCCATATGTAACATACGGGGTGTATATCCGCTAATGGAAAATCTCTTTTAGGAGCAAATATATATTATACACGTACATGTATATTGTATATACGCGTGCTCCCGGCGATATTAATGTAGCTTATTGATATATTATATATATATATACATATATATATATATAAAATACATACACACATACGTACGTATGTATGTGTAAGCAAGATACAAAACAAAGTTAATTACATATACACGATATCGTGCAAATTGTACGAAAAGACTAATTAATATATACATATATTATACTTTTATGATAGTTTGTCTCATATTGAAGAACACACAGTTGTATATAAACTTCCCAATATCCATCGTCTTGTCCTATGTTTCGTGAAGAAAGGTCGACCTGTGTTTAGAACTGCGAGAGAAAGCCAGAAGAGGTAAATTAGAAATTCCGAGGATTAAAATATTTTTATAAAAAGTGTTGGTAATATATGTGTACAGATAAAAAAAAAAAAAAGATACGAGAACAATTTACCGATACGGATGTAACTTTTTATAACAAAACCTTCCGTTCGGAGCAAAGTACAAAAACTTCTATCGGATGTTTCGCCGGAAAAGTCGAAGAGTAAACCAAGATGGTTGAAAAACAAAAAAAAAAAAGATACTTGCGTGATTAACGAATTATTTATCGCGATAACTTTATTATAAATGCAATCACGTGTATACATCATCATCATCATTACTCACAATAATAACACAACAGAAGTAACTTGTTCGCATTAACGTTTTACCGCACTGCGCATGTGAAAAATTTCTTGATGGCGTAATTTTAAATCTGGAGGATAAGAGATCGCGTCACACATGCTATACATTTCGCATATTTAAAAATTATTAAAAAATATAAATTACGCTGTAATTGCTATATTATCAATATATTTTTAGTTTCTATATATAATATATATATATTATATATATAATATATATATATTATATATAGAGGAATAATGTAAATATATAACAGTGGTCTGTTTTCTACAGTTTTACATACAACACTGTCGTGACAAATCATTTATTCAGAACTAATGAAAAAAAAGTCAAAAATGATGTTGACAAGTTGACTGTTAATTTCAATTTGATAAATTTAAGTTCAATCTGATTACACATTTCCAAGCTGCAATCAAGTTATAACAGAATTGTTTGTGTACCGCAAGTTTATTGTAAAAAGTTTCTTCGCGTGTTTGGTACGTCTTGTAAATTAGTATTATCCAGGAGAAAGATTTTTCAAGAATTGTGTGAAATTAGTACAACCATGTACAATATGTTATTCAATTGAAACAATATAATAAAAATATAAACCTTGCGCGGAGCAGAGTAGGTTTTGAGGATCAAAGGATTCGAAGATCCCGTTAATCTCACATCGAGCAAGTAATAATTTACATGCAAGTAATAATGATTTGAATATATTTTCAATTATAATGTAATATATTCCATAAAAGAGCGCAAAATGACGCTAGAAGTTGCAGAATTAAAAAATTCATTAGAAGTCTCTGTGTTCTCTCTCTCTCTCTCTCTCTCTCTTTTTCTGTTTCACTTTTTCTTGGTTGAGTAACGGAAATGCGAACGCGACTTCGTCGATTCTTGATCCTGTTGGACTCTCTGACGAATCAAAGAATTCTTTCGTAGAACAAGAGATACGCTTGACTTTTCAGCACTGTTTTCTCGTCTACTTCCGACACTCTGCAACAGAAACAGAAAACTTTACGTAATTGTTCTCTGAATTAATTACATTTTAAATTGTATATATATATTTATTACAGTTCAGATACTACTTTTGTAAATTAGAAAAAGTTCTGTGTGCCGTAAAAAATTTTAAATAAGTTTCAAAATATCTTAGTATTTCTTTAACATGTCGTATCTTAAAATAATATGAATTTTTCATAGCTACCGAGTTTTTATGCTTAAAAGAGTGAGTTTAACTTTACTCGCAATACAGATATTTTTCTAAATCAGAAAAAAACGTTATATATACGACAGAGACAATCTTACCGAGAATCGGACACATGATACCATTTTCCAGGTGGTGGTTCTATAACGGAAGCAGCTCTCGCCGAAGCTTCTTCTCCTTCCGAATCTGAGCTCGAGTTATTCGACTCGTCATTCGGTTGAGCGTTTTTATCTTTAGGAAGAAAACTCCACCGATGGTCGTCCGGTGCTAATGGCAGTCTTGTCTACGAAAACACAAAAGTTTTTGAGTATACTCTTGACTTTTTATAATTTTTTAATGAATTACGACGTGTGTGACAAAACATAGTTGTTTAATTTTTTTTTTTTTTTTTTTTACCTTGACATAAGCAACATAGTGACCACCGTGAACGGTTCCGCTGTGCTCGACGACTCCGTAAAGCGAGTAGAGTCGTGGTTTTTTGTGATTCTTGCAAACCGGCGCCAAATCGAACAGAATTGGAAACGACACGTGCTTGAAAACTTTTCGGAAACCAACTCTCTGCGTTTGAAATCTTTTCAAATGAAGAATCAATACCGGAGGTACTTGTGAAATGAGATACTGCTTCGTACTCGAAGTGCATACCATTTTCGACGAGCCTTCGTGGTTCTGAAGAATTATTATTTTTATTCTATTTGTTATTTTTTCTCGCATTAATTGAATTTTATTTACATTAGAGTGCTGTCGCGCGCGTTTCGAAAACAAAATTAAAACTAATTCTCTCTGGCGTATAGAAATTTCAAAAAAATTATCTTCTCCTTCTCTTGTAATTTCAATTACCTTCTTCTCGCGAGCTGTGCACGCCTCGCAGACAACTTTGTTGCTTCCTGTCATTAACTCTAAAGCGGTGAATTGATTCAAGCACGATTCTATGGAACATTCGCCCTCCTTGGTTGCATATCGTTCAGGAGATTGATGTCCGGCAATTCCCAACTTGGACATTCCCGCCATTATATTGCCAACTTCATTGCACAAGTCTTGCTCCTCGGGATCGTCTCCGTTAGATGTTCTATTATTGTACTTCCTTCTATTGCACTTTGACAAAGCGGTCTTCATCCACGTTTCGACATTGTCCAATCTGGAAAACAAACCATCAAGAAGTTTGATAATTTTACATGTTTGAGAAATTTAAAAGAATACGACAAACAATTGTCTTAAATATGTCGGCATTATTTACGATAAACAATCGTTTTAAACATCGTCAATTACACTTCAACTCTTTCATTCTCACGTCCAAAAGTTATAAACTTGAAAGCCATCACACGACCTCCACGATTCCAAAATAACTTGGGGAGTTAAAAGGATTAATGTCTACCTCTCCTTGACCTCGTCGCCGTTAATCGGACTAGTAGGGCTTTCCTTAGAAGCGGCAGAGCTGCTTAAGCTCGCAGTAGGCGCCTCGGGGCTCGTCATGTCAGAATTGACGATCATGGAGGAGGATAACGCTGTGGTGGACGCCTCGTTTTCGGAACTCACCGCGCCGACATTCCTGTCTGATTTTTCTAACGATATTTTGATCTGAGTCAAATCTGTCATGGACACGTCAGTTGGACTAGGACTAGGTAATGCGCTAATGTTGGCTAGGTGTCTAATTTGTGTCGTGTCCAAATTGTTGTCCAGATTACCGTCCTCCGCGCTAGCAGCGTTGATGTCACCATTCAAATCGTTATTCGAATGATGGTGATGCTGATTGGCGGGAGATATCGGACTCGCGACGGCGGACGCTTTTTCCGAGCTGTATCCGGATTCGCCGATTTCCGGATGAGAATTATCTACTTCGATATTATCTTCCACATCGGCATCGCTTTCTTCTGTAAAGAACAAGTTCTTTTTGTATAAAAGTTTGCTCCTTAAAATTTACAAGTAAGACACTTTAGAAATTTTTAATTTTTTCTATTTGTTCTTGCTCACAGTAATATGTACATATTCTAAACTTTTGATAGAATGTCTACCGAAAATAAACAAACCTGATTTCAGAACACTATCGTTGTTTTCTTCCGCCGGATTATCCGGATCCATTGACGCGTTGTAATTATTGTGATTTTCATGTCGTTTGTTTTTACGATTTTTTTTCTTTTTCACCGCTTCCGCCAAATGTTTCCAAGGCGAATTGGAAGCTTGGTAATCGCGTTGCTGGACGTTCATCATGTCGAAGGCGTCCTCGTTTTCGTTGTTTTTTCTTCTATATCAAAATCACAATATTACTTTATGAACTACGCGAGAGAAATAATAAAAGCCAGTAAGAACCAAACGCTGGATGAAAACAAAATATTTTTTACGTGCAAATTGATACATATTGTGTGTAATATACAAGTTAAATTCAATTTGACCGAATCTATGTCGGATGTTCGATCTCGATATAAAAACAATCCTTCATTTTCTATTCTGAAATTAAACAAATCGTTTGCAAAACAAAAAACAAAAGCCAGAATTCGAACGCGGACTTCTCGCATTTCGTGCGGTCGCCTTTGTGAATCGAATTGTAATAACATTTGTTGCAACAACTGAGTGAGAAAAAAATAATGCACTTACTTTAAAATCGGCGGTTGTGGCTTGTCCGCCGTGACCGGCAAGCTCAGATCCAAAAACGGTTCGGTACGTTGCGACGAGTGGTGGCAGTCCAAACACTCCAGAGTGGATACCAGCACGCCGCGAAATACCGCTTCCGGACCGAGCAGTCGGGTGCTAGCTTGGTTGCCGTAAAATTTCACACGCGATTTTAGGCTCTTCTCCACGCAATCGGGTTTGGTCTTTCCGCTGAGACCGACCTCCTTCAAAATTATAAACTGGTATCTCTGCAAGTCAATATATAACACTTATATATAACACACACTTCAGTGCAAGAGACGTTTCAACAGATAACACCGATAACACAGCAAGATTGATGAAAAAAAAAAAAGCATTTAGATAATTATTCGCTTACTCGAAGATCTTCATTCCGTACTATTTCCAACAAGTGTCGGAGTAACTCGTGCGAATCGTGTTGACCTCCGTCCACGCACTGTGTAGTTTTTTTCCTGAGTTTGTTCAAAAGATTTGAAGGCGTGTAAGTCTGATGGCCACTGGTGTTGTGCATTTTTGTTAAAGTTTCACAGAGAACCGAAGTGAAACTACCCCAACGTTCCAAAGTCCCTTCGATTGGAGGCTAAACAAAACGAATTAAGGTAGATGTGTTAATAAAACAAAAGAAATTAACTTTCCTCCGTGAAAACCTAAATGCAAAATGTGATAATGTGACAAACAACGTAACATACTAATTCCACTTCGTCCTCGGAATCGACAAGCTTGTGCTTTCCACCTGGCAAAACAAATTTCTGTCCAGGCAAACGTAAATTATCCAACACCTTTACTAGATACGGAGTTTGTGCTAAACACTGAAGCACAGCGTTAAAAAAGCAAGTATTTCCTAAATTTGTCAATCCCTGAAGTACAAAATTGAAAAAATTATTGCACATTATTAACATATATATATATATATATATATATATATATATATATATATAATAATAATATATCACTTAAAGTATTTAAAATGTATTACATTTTTTATAAAATGTATTACAGTGCGTAGAAATTTATATGAAATTTTCAAAAGTAGGAAAATTCGATATTTTGAATAAAACTTGAAATAAGAAATGTGCATACTCCGATTTTAGGAAGATTGTTTAATATCTTATGTTTCTCTGTCTCTTCTACATTTGTTATCACTTCATTTTGGCACTGAACCGTTGGTGTTTTTGATGATTGAGGTATTAGTGGTGGAAGTGCAACACACTTTTTGATGAACTCAACAGTTTCCAACAACTTTTTTCTGAAACAACAACAGTCATTTATATTTTTATATGTTTAAAGCCGTAATATAATGTGAAATAAACAATTCCTTCTGAACAATATAACAAGAGACGACTCGTGTATTATTTGTATGCATAGACATTACCTGCTGCTGGGATGAACTTCAGTTTCACATTGATAGCACCAAACATTCCACTGGTGAGTATCGGTCACCAAATAATGGCAGTCACTATGTGGTTTTCTATAGTGTTGTATGGCATGTTGTTCTTGTTCCTTACCGCAGCTTTGTTCCCCGCATTGAAGGCAAATCCACAAAAGCTTGAAGGTATCATTCTGTAAATTTCAATAACTTCAAGTTACGCTCAAAACATTCAGAAAATATATATTTCTGCGATTAAATAGCTTATTATTTACTACACCTCAGTTGTTTTGTTCGAATCTATTTCTTGTTTCCTGCACGTAAAGCAATCGCCTCCTATACCAGTTTTCTTCAAGTTCTTCTTCACTTTGTTCAAATTAATAGCTTTTGGTATATGCGGACATTTTGTACCTGCTGATAATTAAAAACATATCTTATTCACACACACACACACGTATGTGAAAAATGTACAAACCATATGTAATAATTTGTAGACGTCATAAACAAAAGATTTATGCTTAAGTTTGTTAAATCGCAAAAGTTACTCTTTTTTATATAACTTCTAGATCTTAATAGGCTTTTGTTTTAACTTACTTTGAAGATTTCTACAATTTATATTTATGTAACTAACTTATGTGTGCGTGCGTGCGTGCGTGTGTGTGTGCGTGCGCGTGCATGATTCTGTATTCGGTCCATTTAAATGGGATAAAGAGATTTAAAAATATTTGAATTTTCAAACGTCTCTCCTCTGCCCTCCTCCTCTCTTCTCGCCTTCTTCTTCGTTTCGCTAATTTCTCGGAATTCGCGGTTGCTCGTTTAAGGAAATCCCTATTTGTGGGTGTGAAATATACAAAGGCGTCTAACCTGCGCTGGTTTCCTCGCAGGATTCGGTTGAAGCCTCGCTTACGTCGGGATTCGCATCTGGCTGTCTGTTACGTTTCTTGCTCATCTCTGCGCGCACAACTCGAACGTGGTGAACGTTTTCCGTCGTCCGTTTGTCGTCGTTCACGTGTCTGTTGTTGTCTTGTGCTCGCCACGCAACGAAGACTCTCTTCTACTCCTCGTTCGTCAACTCAACTCCAAAGTTCTCGTGCGTAAAAAAACCATGTGGAAACTCGGCCCACGCGCGCGCGTGCGAACAACAGTCGAGGATAAACTGTTTCGGAATACACCACCACTGTGTGTCGAGGGGGTATACAACACCGCACCTTCCTCCCAACCCTCTTCAACGGGCATTGACGACGACGCACGAAGAAGCGCTGTTTCCCACAAATTTTCTCACATTCCGAATTTCTTCGACTACACAAATCACGAGTTACGATCTTCCATTACATTTCAACAATTATTGTCGCAATGCTCTCGCAGCGACGTTACTTTAAGGCTCGTCTCCATCGAAAATCTGCGGTCAATTCCACGGAACTTTTCTCGTGGAATCGACCAATTGCGTCGACGCAATTGAATTGATCGACCAATGTAACCGGTTTTGGACAAGACCTCGGTCTTTGAATCAAAAATGCGATCGTATTTTTTTTTTTTTTTTTTTTTTTTCAAGTGTATTAATTTTTTTTCGCCAAGCGCGTCGGTGGCAATTAATAATAACAATAACAATCGTCATTCACCGAGAATCCGGTCGGAACGTCACAAAAGAGACCACCGGGTGTATACCGTAACGGCTGCGCTATTTTGAGCCGTTTCTTAACGTAATAAGAAAAGACGGAAGATTGTACGAAACTCTCTCTCCTCAAATGACGCATCATCTGACTTGCGTCAGCGTGTGCCAATCGATTCGTGTGTACGTGACGTTTTTAACACACCAGCACACGTATACTCGAACACACACGTATATTGCGAACATTTTTAATTACGTCGTTTCGTCCATTTTTTCGTTTTTTTTTTTTTTTTTTTTTTTTACATGCCTTGCTTTTGCGCGCCTCGAACTGAGAATTGTTCGAGGCGAGAATCTGCGATTCTAATGCGCGAGTAAATTTATTCTTCTCGCGAAGAATTGGAATTCACGAAAAGGTTATAAAGCGTGTATTTAGCAATCTCAATGAGATTGTATATAAATTTTGACCGCGTTGCAAAATAAATCACAGAGATCTCGAGTATCAAAGATATATCAATCTCTCGATTCGATATCACGCACACGTGTGTACGTCGAACACGCGTGAGGAAATTCCTCAAACGGGAAATCCTCCGTGTTCTCGATGGAAGAACGGAAAAAAACCTAAAGAATCGAGCACACACATATGTGAGAGTCGAGAAACAGAGATTTTTTTGGCCAATAAGTAAATAAAGTAAATATATATATATATATGTATATATATATAACTGAACAATTTTGGCTTTGAATTTCTCTTTGAACAAAAATCACATATACGTCCATGTACAAATGAAGATTGTCTCAATTACGTCGTTTGTGGTCATTTATGGTCGCTTATGATCTTGTAAAAATAATTTGTTTCAAATACACCGAGACGCGATTGCGACGAATCTTTGATCTCGCTTGATCGTGGATTCGGACTTATTGCGCAATAAAAAAAAGCAAATTTCTCTGCTCTCTTTCGTCAACGCCGCTTCTGCGTGCGCGCACGAAAAATCCTGAAAACACACTCGCATGGATTCGTTAATTTAGTTTTTCATAAACATTTCCAAGACGTGTTTCAAGTCGCACTTAAAAAATAATCGGAGAAGAACAGTGGAACGAATTCGGACAATTGTTCTTTTTTTTTTTTTTTTTTTTTTTTCATTGCACATTCTCGGAGACGTGGCAACGTCGAAAAGAATTATATTTGTAACGGAAAGCGCAGTTGCGTACGTGAGTTAAGGGGAAGAGACTGACCGCGCGACACATTCCTACGCGACGACCCGATGGCGCAGATACATCGATTTTTGATTTGCGAACGTTAATTTGCGTCCAATTTATTCCACGACGACGCGTTTCGTTACGAATTAAGAAACCGCGTTGCGCAATTATCGAGAAACACGCGACGTCGAAGTTAATTTCGTGGTTTTGTCGGGGTACTACTTCGCACGCCAGCGCGGAGTGTTACACCATAAGGGCACTCGCTTGGGTATATAAAGCCCCACCTAAGCGGCCGCGCCTCCGTTCCCAAACTCTCAATGGTGCAGACGTATCTCGCTCGTGTACGCGCGTCAAAAATTTTCCTGGCCTGGCAAGTGGTCGCACATCCTATTCAAATCCTTCGTCGCAGCAAGCGCGAATCGTCGATAAAGTCGCGCGAGCCAGATACAGGTTGGTTGAACAATATTAGTTTATATTTAATTATTACACACGTCGTCGCAGGACGAACACTCCGTCCAGATTACACGTTAGTTTTTCATTATGTAACAAAAAAAAAATGGCGCCGCATATAACAATGGACATGATCATACCCGTGATTGAAGAAAGATCGCAGAACTCTTGCGATCGACCGCACGAGATTGAAATCGGCAAACCAAGCCGCACAGAACTACTTTCCAAGTGGATCACCAACGTACGTAACAAAAAATTGAAATGCTATCGTAGTCCCAGGCGTGACCTCCGTGTGGAGGCTGTGCTGACTCGCGCGTTGAATAATGCGGAATACGAACTGCGTACCACACAGTTGTCCAGATTGAATCGCTGGTTGAAAGTAAGAAAACGTCTGCTCAAGGGAGTGAACTATGGTGCTTGTGGGTTGTACAATATTGTCGAAGAAGAATTGGAGAGAACCAAAGATGTCGACGCGAGACATAATACATTTTGGCAGGAGAAAGATCTGTGTGAGGATCTTACCAGTCTGGATAATTTTCTGCTGGAACTTAGAGAAATAAAACCAACGATTGTACAACGGTAACAAAACTTGCAAATTAGAAGCTGCTTTGTAGAAGCAATATGACTGGCCTGGATGTGTTCAAGCTCGTTAACTACAAAGACTGATATTCATACCTCTGCGACTTCACTCATTCATATTATCTGCAACAACAATCTGTTTTGCGACGAGACGAAAGAAGAAAAAAAAAAATCAGCAAGTCAGCACCTGTTAAGAATCACCGCATGCAAGTTTTGTTTCCATAACTATTTAACTTTATTCAGACTTGACATGGTAAGACAGTTCTACAGATATATTTATCTTGTTTCATCATTGTCGAAAGATAAATCTACAAAGTCTCGCGACGTGTGGATATTGATGGTTCGCTAGTTCCATTAATACCATCAAGCCACATATCATCGTACAAAGTTAGATGCCATGCATATTATACCTAACCATAATGATACAAATTGACGTCAAAGTCAACTCCAAAGAAGTGCATTGCAGAAGATAAATCTACGGAAACATTTAAGAGAATCTTCACTGTTCACAAAACCAGCACCTACTACCTACCTGTGCGCGCTGCGCAGCGATTTTTAGTCTTGTTGTTACCCCGGTATATATATCTGGGTATTTTTTACTTGCAGTCTCACCATTTGAGATGGCGGATTCACATGAAGAGACAGGGATAAAGAGAGACAAAGAATTGCTGTAATGCAGGTTCAAGCCAGGATTATCTCGGGAGATGATTCCGTTTCGCACTCCGTCCTTCATTGTATAGCAGCCTCTCATCGGACTGGTTCGGTAAACTGTATCGAAACCATTTTCTCTTGAAGTTTCCAAACTAGTCGATTAATTTTTTATACAGTATTTATAGAGAACGGAGAAAAAGACTAAATAATTTTATATAAAGCTATTTGTACATTTCTTGTAAAGTTACATCAGTATTGTAATTACATTGTGATAATGTTTCCAAAGAATTTAAGTTTTTGTGTAATAATTTTTGAAAAGATGTAACTAGCAAAAAGAAATTAGGAAAATTAATCATTTGTAAATTGAAATTTTTTGTATAAAGTTGCTGATTTTTTTTTTTTTTTTTTTTTCGTGTTTGTAAAATTTGATACACAGCCTACCAAACCTTAGCATATTAGTATAAATTTCTATAAAACTACACTGTTAAGGATGAATGCAACAAGGAAGATGATCTCATGTAAATATCTAAACCATTGTGATATTTCAAATTTTTTTTACTGTATAAGATACTTAAATAAAAAACTGTGATCTAGAATTTTTATATGTTAGAAGAGGAAGTTGTTACAAAGACGTATGAAAATAAATATGTTTTGCAAGTAACCCAAGTAAAACCATTTTTCTTTCTTAATTTCTCTGTTTATATATGCGTGACAAAGTATTAATATGTGTACTGTGTCGATCCTTTTCAGTATGCTGAATAGAGTCCTAAGAACTTAGAAGGTTGTCGACAAGATCGTCGTCGTTGGCGGCGACGGCGGCGGCGGCGGCAGCTTAAAAACGTACCTATAAGATCGCAGTAAAACGGAAAGCGAACAAGGCAAGCGAGGGGTAGTATATTCTTATCTCAATGAAAAGGGAAGGGAAAAGTCTTTGCTTTTAGAGGAGGGAGGCATCCTAGCAAGCGTGCAAACTTGGATCGATGACCACAGGCCTTGTACTGTTGGCGATTTTTACCGCAAGAACAACATTAAAGGGCTTTGTTCCGTAGCTACACATACGAATACTTTATTTCACCAATTAAAATCAAATTGATCGATTTGGAATCTATTTAAAATTTAAATGTAAATTCGTTCCTATGTGATAGTTGCACCCTGAACGAGGAACGGCGCATGGCTCACTAGATCACTAGCCGCTATAACACCAAACACGTCATAACTGCAAAACATTGAGAAGCGTCTCGCGTAGTGAGCTTCTATTTTACCTCAGACGACCAGGTGTGTTCCCAAATTCATAATAATCAATTCTCATTGAAACAAGATTTGTTTCCAATTTATATGGAGATTCGGCCATGCCAAGAGTCGTACGTACACCTCGTGTAAGGTAATTTAACCATGCAAACATGGGAATCTATTAAGAAAAAAAAATTGCCGACATGCTTTTTCCTCTAACATATATATGCGTTTGTTGTCATAATATATTTTGATAAATTTCATCATTTTTGGTCATGTCAAGACCCCCGTCCCATCTAGGATAGGATGTTAATTCATATGTTCTAGAGTTTGAAGATGAGTATGTTTGAAGAATGTGAAGTATTATTGAAGATTCCGAACAAATGTAGAGAACGCGATAGGATGTTAATGCATATGTTCTAGAGTTTGAAGCTGAGTATGTGTTTGGAGACTGAAATATTGAAGATTCTAAAACAGATGTGGGGAATGCGATAAATTGCTGGCGGGAGAGTAAATGTGTAAAGAGACGTATGTTATATTAGTGTGATTTATATGTATATATTCAGAACAGAAGAAGGAAATATTAGGTTGTCTCACTCTTCGGTAACATTGATCTCAATCTAAGTAGAAATATGTTTATTATTACCAATAGATAATTTGTGCTTTTTAATGTCTTTTTTTTTCCAAGTGTATTGTCGAGTTTATCTGTAGAATCTGAAGATTCGAGGATCTAACAACCCCCGGAAAAAAAAAACTCAAGCGTTCAGGAATTCCAAGGGCTCTTCCCGTCTCTAGGAATATCTAGAAAAACTATCCAAAGCTTTCGGAATTAAGACATCTTGAAATTTAGAAAACTCAAAATTTAGCACTGGAAGGAAAATGGATAACTTGCACTGAGGAAAAATAGTATAGGAATGAAAAACACCTAAGTAGCACACATAATACAGATGAGATTGATTGTGGTTTCCATATATATATATATATGTTTATATATATATATACTTGGGGGAGGGGGGGGTTTCTCATGTGTAGAAGAATTGTTTCGTTGTAGAGAAACAATATCGTGAAAAGAAAATCGGTTTGGTGTTGAAGAGGATCGGATCGACCCTTGCTCGGATAGATGTGCAGAGGCTATTAAAGCGGGAAAATCGGGCTTGGAAATCTCTCGGAAATTTTCACGGGCTGATCTCCTTCCGGAAAAATCACGAATCATCAAGGTGTTCACTTTGTTTGCTAATAGAAATGTCAAAGAAGACGTAGGTCTGAGCAGTTCCTAGTATTTCGGAGTTCACTTCACAATGATGGTAGACGAGTTCCCCTTTTTTAACGCATGCGCGACAACACGGCGGTGACATGCGTGAAGTGGCATACAGTCTTGCCGGGCCCCGATCTACAGATAAAAGAGAGGTTAAGAGGAACTAAATCTGTAAGTACAATGGAGCCCGCGAGCTACTAAAGTAAAAAAAAAAAAAAAAAAGAAAGAAAAGTCAAATCTATGTAAGTACAACAAAGTAAGGGGGCCCGTTCGTTCGTTCTTGCATAGTTTTTATGCTACAAGTATTTTTTATACAAATTTGTACGTAGACGTTACCTATATGATTGAGATATACACAAATGTTCATATGATTCAAATACAGGATGTGAGCGGCACTGTTCTTTCTCGTATTGTAGGTACTTTCTATTTGCTTTCACTGCGTATGCGACACCGGCCCACTTAAAACTGTATAGATTTCTTGCTGTCCTGTATAAATGAATCCGCATACCGCCAGTAAGAGAGGAAGTTGTCGGGAAGTTCTACCAATTTTTAAGATGATCCGTGGATCGATATAGGCTGTAGAGCTATCAAGAAACAGGTCATTCGTCAGATGTAAGTTCGTGTTACACCCACCATGCAAAAATATCATCACAATTGGCAAGAGGCTGCTTTTGATCGTAACCAAAGTGAAGTGCAACATTCACAACTCTCGAAGAAAATGACGGTTGCGGCTTCAAACTCGGAAGATATCATCAACAGAAGATCATTCCTGTTAGACGAGCTTCTCATTTGATGGAATCATCACTTAAAGATTAAATTATCCGAAGATTTTGTTTCTTATAGACCAACAACTAACTTCTATTATATGGATCATCGCTTAAAGATTTAAAATTATCCGAAGATTGTTTCTTAGACGAACTTCTATTATATATAGATAAATCACTTTTGAAGATTAGATTGTCCGAAGATTGTTTCTTATAGACCGAACTTCTATTATATGGATCATCACTTAAAGATTAAATTATCCGAAGATTGTTTCTTAGACGAACTTCTATTATATAGATAATCACTCGAAGATCAGATTGTCCAAAGATGATTCCTGGTACGTGATGACATCAATTGAAGATCTATTTTTAGTAGACGAGCTTTTTACGTTAGAAGAAGAATCATCATTGAAGATTATATTATCTGAAGATCGTTTCTGGCAGAGAACTTCACAACTATTGTATTCTATCATCGCTTAAAGATTTGTACTATTTGAAGATTGCTCTTATTAAATTTGTTGTTAGAAATTTCTCGTGAAAAATCAGTGAAATTATAAGTGAAAGTACGAAACATTGCTGAATATATATTTCCAGTATAAATCAAACTTTTTACTAAAAGTAACTTGCTATTTTAATACGTATTTTATACCGAAGTTTTTATTGACGTTTTCGTTGTATAATATGAAATTTTACAGGACGAAAGTGATATAGATTTATATCAACTGTTATAGATTTCAACATATAATTCAGTAATGTTTCAGTAAAATATTTTTCTATCAAAGTGTATGTGAGTGAGTGAGTGTGTGTGTGTGTGTGTGTGTGTGTGTGTGTGTGTGTGTGTGTGTGTGTGTTTTTTGGTGTGTGTGTGTGTGTGTGTGTATAGCACATATGTGCTGTGNTCAGTAATGTTTCAGTAAAATATTTTTCTATCAAAGTGTATGTGTGTGTGTGTGTGTGTGTGTGTGTGTGTGTGTGTGTGTGTGTGTGTGTGTATGTGCATGTGTTATATTGTGTCAAATTATGATGCTGTGGATAGCACATATGTGCTGTGCATCACAATTTTTTAACCACACCGGACAATTTAGTATTAAAATAATAATAGACATAATAATCAAAAAAAAAAAAAAAAAAAAATTAGTCCGACAGTCCGCAGTCTGTTGAAAGTGGGACGGAAAAATGTGATGCATTGCATTTTTTTTATAAGATTTTAAGTATACATATGTATGTTACATACATATATATATTTGCACATTTGTATATATATATATATATGGATTGTATGTCTTAGATTAAATAGTTTTACACACATTAGAGAGAAAGAGCAATGTTTTTCAAACTTTTTTGAGTTGAGATCTACGACTTATTACTCTTTTGAGATGAATCGAAAAAATAAAATAATATTAAGAACACACAAATGGAGAGATATTCGTGCCTTTATTCAGCAATAAGACGAAGCAGCAAGCAAATCAAATTACCAGCATTCTCTCGAATGTAGTTATTTATTTTCCATTTCCATGTATAGTAGTATAATTTATTAAAGTAATTTATAAATGTTTTATCAATATCTAATTGTGAGTCCAAGAAATAAGAGAAATTTTTTGGACTATCCGCGACTCTCACGGAACGGTTTCCCTTTTGAAAAAAAGAAAAATACAACTGAAGAAATATGTCTTTATTGATAAAAAGTTCTGTTCAAGTAAAAATTCTTACAATCGCACAAATATAAGATATATCTCAAGTATACGCATGCGTACATCTCTTTTTACACATATACATCCATACATATTTACAAAAATAGTTTGTCTTTGTAACACTTATTGTTTCGCACGTCATAACATAATTCAATAGAGATCACAATATCAGACGTTCCTATTTCTTTTTGTTTTCGCAAATTATTCCATCTTAGAAAACTGATGTATCGGATTCTCTCAATATAGAAAAACTTAATATGTACAACCCTACCATTCTCTATTCCACTTTTTAATATTTTTTTTGTAAAATTACATCCGTTCTGGACTTCGCTTAAAAACAAATTCAGTCTCAAAATCCTTAATCGACGTTATTACTGTCCTGCTTGATATCCTGAAAGGGATTTAGCGTTCTGGCGGGTTTGGTGGGCGCAGCCAACAGTCTGCTCCAAGCTCGGTAAGTCTTGCCGGACCACACCCACATACTGGAGGTAACGCCGACCGCGAGGAAGAGAAAGAGTCTGAGCAGTGCGACCTCGAGACCGGCGGCCCGGTAAACCGGGCCCGGGGTGCAGTTCTGGGCCTCGCGGCAATCCAGCGCTGCGAGCAGCGCCAGTTTTTGCCACCTAGGTCTCACCGAGGCTTCGTGCAGCACGCAGACGAGACCGCCCAGCGCAGGAAGTGCGTATAGCAACGCGAAAATGCTCAACCGCGTCATCAAACGCTCCAATTTGGTCGCGCTGCGTCCGGCACAGCGCACAACTCTTCGCACACGTACCAGCGCACTTCCGGCAAAAGTGCCGAACGCACAGCCGAGCAGCAGCAACACGGCGTGCGGCAACACTTCGAGCCACAATGCCGATTTGTCCGAGATCTGGCACAACCCGGTTAGTTCATCCGCCACTACACTGTGCGATAGCAGGCTTCCTGTAGAAAAAAAAAACAGAACCACGTGTGTAATTGATCATTTGCTGTTTTCAGCAAAAAATTGTCATCGAACAAAAGATCAAGTTTAACAGTATCAATTTATCTCCAATTATTACAAATTACCTCCTGTAAAGAATATCGGAAGAATCCATGCGGTTGCGTGGAAGTAGGACGCGATGTTGTGAAGAGCCTCGCTGCTCCACTCGTTTCTGGCGCTCAGCAGCCAACAACCGCACAACACCGTCCACCATGTGTTACTAGCTAGTCTCAGGTAATATGTGATCAACCACCAAATTGTACAAGGAATGCTCTTCAAAACATCGTTGACCTATTTTGAGAGTATAAACAAGTAAAAACGTGTAATTAAAAGCTAATTAAGTTAAGAGGAAAAGAGCGAGATATTTTTTTTGTACACATAAATTACTACTAACAGGAACGTAATCCGGTCCGTCGATTTGGCTGGCGCAGCTGAGATTCTCAGCGCCAATCGCGCCCCGGACGATGTAAGCCACAGATAAAAGACTGTAGCAGAGCGCCAGAAACACTATCGGTCTCTCGGGATACCGAAATCTGGACGGTTCGACCCAGAAGGTCAGCAGGGTGAATAGCGTCGATAAAAAACACAGCCAAGCCCAACCGGTCATCCAGCGCTCGGCGAATTTCTTGTCTTCAGCGCGATAATACGCGTCGGCGCCGCAACGTGGTGCGCAAGAAATCTGAAAAGAATTCGCGATAAGAAAAAAAAAAAAAAACAAAATTTTGTTACGCTTGACGCCACTTTTCTGTCGCCGATCTATATAATCGCGCGCTTTTTTTATTCTAACCGTTTCCCCGTCGGGTATCTGTACGAAATGAGGCGGGCACTGATGATGATGCTGCTCCTGCTGCTGCTGTATTCGCGTGAAGGTCTGATGCAGCGGCTGATCGTGTTTCGTTGACCATTGCTGCTGCTGAACGATCGTCGGTGGACTCGTGTCGTCCACCAGCAGTATTTCATCCGGCGGTTGCACGCACAATGTGTTTCCTGTAAACGCACAATGTTTAAAATCACAGGTACATACGCGTTATTTGAGAGTAAAAATTGTTTATTATACGAACAGTCGAGCGTGTGCGAATATCAATATTTTCTGCACAAATAGCGCGAAAAGATTTTTGTATTTTGCATTTAAATTTTGCAGATAAACTCGAACAGTTTCTGTACTGTGTGTATAAATTTCTCTCTCTCTCTCTCTCGCGTTTGTTGTTGCTGAAAAATGAAAACGCTCACCACGATCGAGGAAGCGATCGCAGTCCAGCATGTGAGGCCACGGCAGTGTTAGACTGGTCAATGCCGGCTCGCAGTCTCTTCGCACGGACAGACAGAGAGATTTGCAGGCTGGTATCTGCACATGTTCCGAGCAGACCGGCGCGAAGACCGAGCACAGGAAGAGCCTGAGATGCCGCGAACAGTTGTAGTGAACCAGCGGCATGAAAGCCGTCAACTGCGAACAGAAAAAAAATTTGCAAGAAAAAATTAATTGATTGATCTGATCGCGCGTTACACATAAATTACATCAGATCGGATCTCTTCAGTTTGCAAAACGATGTAACAGAATAATTTTTTTTACATTGTACACCGCGTTTGCGTGTTTTTTTTTACGACGTTTCAGATTTAAAAAAAAAAAAAGGTTCGCGCGTTTTTTCTCTATTCTCGAAAAGACATAGAGAAGTACTCTACAACGGAGATCGGAACACGACGAAGGGTAATGTACCTAACGAGGCGGGGAAGAGACGCTTTGCTTCCATGAGTTATAACGAGCGGTGGGCATCAAGGGTAATTATCCCGCCCATTCTTCCCGCCTCGATCTCGATGGACCTTCGAACGTCGCTACGCGGCCTGCGCGGCAAGATATCGAAGCGGTCTCTTTCTCCACCTTTCCTTCGTCCTTTCCCCCCTACCCCCTTTCCCTCCACCCTAACTCTCTTTAGATTCACCCATTATAAGCGCGCGAACCTAATGCTCTTCTCTTCCACAGCACTCCCCAAATTATAGTTTCATAAAATTACATGGTAACCCGTAATGCCGCGGAGCCCTCCATCTCGCCTTGTATCGCGGTGCTCCCTTCTTCGAGCTCTCTTCTCACCAATCAAGGTGGACCAACCAGAAGCAGCCGAAAGAGAGAAAGATAGAGAGAGAGAGAGAGAGAACCAGAAGAAACCCTGTCTGAAAATCGCGCGAGCAATTATTACCACCTTTCTTCGCACAAGGAGAGCAGAGACGCGCGCGCACACACACATCGACGCAGTGGAGACGCAGAGATTTGAGAGGCAATTGTTTTATTATTGTATAATTCACGCAATATATGTGAAGAAAATATTGCGGGAAGAGAAACATCGGTTTTCGCGTGAGAAACTCAAACGTCCGCGAGAATATAAAATACAATTCTCACACCTTAATTGTGATTTCTTTTTTTTTTTTTTTGTTTAGGTCGCGGAGAGTTCGTCGTTGTAATTAAATGCGCATTTGGTGTAAATTAGTTTTTGCGATCTTGAATCTCGGTCTCGGAATTATTTATTTCCGAGCACGAAGAAGAGAGAGAGAGAGAGAGAAAGAGAGCGACGACTTGGAGGAAAAAGAAAAGAAATGTGCAGAAAGAAAGAAAACGTATAACAGAGCAAACCAGTCCAGTTCATTATTTCGCATTCTTTCCCTCCGGGAATGAACAGAAAAAGACGAGAGGTAGGAAACAGTGCACATTTCCCCCCTCCCGCGCCCTTTCCACCCCCTCCCCCCCCCGCTCCCTTCAAGGCATTTTCAGAGCGGTTGTTTGACAGACACTTGCCGGTAGAAGAAGAGACGAACAAACGAACAGACGGATGGATGAACGGCGGACAGACGGACGGACAAACGGAGCCGACTTGTTTCTTCTTGCGGTGTCCGCTCCTTTTCCTTCCCCGCTCTTTTGTCCTTACGCGGCGCGCTGCTTCGGTTCCACCACGATCACGTGTCATTGTGTGAGATCCTTTGTAGGTCTCTCTCTGCGTATATATGTATATATATATATATATATTATTTATGCGACATGACGTACAAGTCCCATGGTTACACACCGAGTGACAAAAAAAAAAGCGACGCAGTTGTTTATTTAAAACAATTTTTCAAGTAACGAAAATCAACAAAAATTGTTTAAAACAATTTTCCAGGTAATTGCGCACGACTTCGCTTTTTCGTATAAATTTATTTAACGCGCGTGTAAAACAATATATTGCACGTATGTGTAAGGAACGAGATTAAAATCTTTTTGAAAATTAATTTTTTTGTTTTTCCAACGACGCAGATATCAGCGGTACATCTGAACTTTTGTGTTTTACAAACATTATACTTGAAGATACAAATTATCTTGTGTAATCTTGTATTTGACAAATGTTTGTTTAACTTGCTGTTACAAATCGTAAAATATCGCGCGCGTTCTTCCGAAATCTATTGTTATATTTTACCTTCTTACGGAATTTCTCGAAACGCCGACCGACGTAGAGATTTTGGATAGGGCGCACCTTTGAGATTTCAGGTAGAACTCGGAGAAAAAGAGAGAGAGAGAGAGAGAGAAAGAGAGTCGCCGCCGCCCCGCAATTTGCTGTTTTCCGGGAACGTGTTGTATACGAACGACGGGACGAAACTTTTTCTCACAATGGGATTATTGAGCTCGGACACAAGTCGTCAGCTTACGCGGAACGTTTGAGTCGGACGATCTCTCGGAGGAGGGTACTATACCTTTTCTTCTCTGGAATTTATTCGAAAGGCTATTCGAGCTATTCAAAAAACTCACCACCATTATCTTGGACGTGGGTTAGGTTTAATGAGATCATTTTGAAACTTTGCGTCTGACTAATTTCCGCGGACGAAGCGTCGCTTCGAACTAGGATCAACGCGAAAGACAACGGGCAATTTCGAGAACACAATTACACGAAGCGACTCTCATTTCGCGACGTGCGCATTATCCCGACACACGTGTGGCAAATGCTTGCTAGCGAGATATTAAAAAAGCTCGTTGTTCGAGAGAAACTCGTAGGTAGCGCGGGATGGTGATGCGCGCCAGGATGGTGGCACGAAGGTGGCGCGGGAGAGAGAGAGAGAGACGAGAGAGGTGCGCGAAGCGGGACGAAGAACGATAGCGGCGCTCTTTGAACTCCGATACGCGCTTTGAGACGATCGTGCGCGGATGAATGCCGCGTTATCTCTCGACGGTTTCTCATTTGTAAAAACAAATTTCGATATTGACTTCGCGGAAATGACACGGACGATATTGAAAAAAAAAAAAAAAACAATATAATCGATATAAAAATGCATAATCGAAGTGTCTTTCTCTCTTTTTGTTTCGGTCTTGTAAAACGATTCCCATAAAATTGTGTTTCGAGCTTCGAACACACTTTTGTGCTTCTGCAAGTTTTCAAGCGAAACTAATATATTGATATATATTGGCGTAATCCGGAGATAGGAGAGAGAGAGAGAGAGAAAGAGAGAGAGATTTGTCAGTTTATTTTTTCAAGATTCGACGCTTCGCAATCGTCACTTTCAAGTCTCGAAGAAAAAATCAAGTCAAGTAGTGAAAAGCACATAACACACACACACGCACATACAAGCGCGCATCCTTTGATGATGTTTCAACTATACTACACCAATATTCACGCACACGAACGCGCCTCTCAAGCATGCCACGCACATGTGCGCACGGGGAACGCAGCTGCTACAAAAATACGCAGTTTTGCTCGTCAGGGCTATCTCGCTTCGGGCGACTTCAAAGCAAGCCGCCTTAACGTTATTACGATAATAAAACTGAGCAAGCGAGGGTAAACCCTCGGCTATAAATACCTCTTTCCATGCGTCATGTCTGTGTGCGCGCGTGTGCGTGTACATTCGTGTGAATATAAACGCGCGAACACGCCGATATTTCGCTACTTCATCCCCGCTTTTTTTTTTTTTTTTTAAATCGTACATTCGCGCACACACTGATGCGCAAAATTTATTTGTCAAACAATTAACGCAATAAAAACTGTGAAAAATCGCGCGCGAATTGGATATTAAAAATTTTTACGTACGAAATGAATGTGAAATTTATTGCGTTTGACGACTATTTCGTACATCTAATACGGTTTTGAAAATCTCACGTTATTTATGTTTCAATCTCTTCGCGGACCTCAAGAATGGACCTACGAGTCAAGACAGACTGTGTCTGTGAGACCCACGCGACTTTAAAGTCGATTATCTCCGCAAAAAATCAATATTTTTCTAATTTTGTTTTTTTTTTTTTTAATCAAAAGTTTGAACGATTCTGCGTCGATAAAAAAAATCGAATTGAAAAAATCTCTGGTAGTTTCAAAGATATAAGCGTTAAAAAAAAAACTCTAAGATTTACTAAACTCCGATGCGTAATTTTTGAATAGGTCTGGGAGACCCATGTCTGTCCGTCAAATAATAATGACTGATACGAATTTTGATTGATAAAAAAACAAAAAAATAAAACAATTCGATGTGAAAAAAATTAATACAAATAACATTGCGTTTAAATTTAAATCTAGAAGAGAAAACCATCCACTCCGGCCATTTCGAAACCGGCTACGTGTGCGAGTTGATTCCGTCTAATTAATTAGTTTTTAATTAAAAAACCGCTGTGATGGTCTTCTCCGCGAGAATAAAATTCGACATCGAGCGCCGCCGGTCGATCACATCGACCGGATTTAATTGAGATTCAAAGAACACGAAATTAATTCTAATTTCTCCTCCGCTCGGAGAAAAATCGTGTGTTCTAGAAAAGAAAAAAAAAAGGGACCGGTATTCCCCTCCGCCTCTTGTTCCCCTCAACCCGTGCTCGTCCCTTCTAACATTGCGGTTCAGTGACTTTGATTCACTTTATCTCCGCTAATGAGAATCGGCCGTGCGTTCTTTGATCTTCGATCGCGCTTATTAACGGTGGATGTACCGTAAAAACCTTTTAACTTTTTTTTTTTTTCTCTCTTCTCTGCCAGCCTCCCGTCCCGCTGGAGGAGAATTTACCAAGATCGTAACACGTTCATCCTTTGCGGTCGTAACCGTCCGGGCCGCAGCAAGCACACCCGACGAAAACGCCGAGCGAACTCTGGTCCTGAAGACCAAACGCAAAGAGGACCAAAACTCCAATAAATGCAATAAACTACATAACATTTTTTTTTTTTTTTTTTGTTAACAAGAGATTAATCGGATAAAGAAATTAAATCCGAACATGGAAAAATTACCCCTCGCTCGGCTTGCCGCTGATCCTCGTGGCCCATGAAGTTCGGCATCGCCGTCGAATTGTAACGCAGTCCGCGGCAAAAGGACACGGCGAGTCTCTCGCATTTCGCCCCGGTTCCTTGATGCCCGTGACCGATGCCCCATCCCCAAGCCGGGCCCGATGTTGCCGTGAGGATGAGCACCGCGATACGCAGCAGCATTTTTAACAACGACGACATTCACATTTTATTTTGCTCGCGCACAGAGTTGCGATTTCACGCGGTTTACATTCGCACGAATTGTGAGAAATAAATTCGGGTCGACTTTGAATCGCGAACGACCGGGAAGAAGGCGCATTCGTTCACGTGACAGCGGCTCGCGACGCCAAATCGAACACAGCAACCACTCGCGGCAGTAGTCGACGGCCGACTGGTGGTGAACCCGAAGATCCCGCGAAGTCTGAAGTATATACGATGCAGATGCGTGCGCTCGCGGACGATTGTGTGCGCGCGCGCGTCGGCTGCGCTCTCCTCTCGCACCTTTCACTTTTTGCCGCCGCCGCCGCCGCCGCCGCTGCGGCGGGCCCTATTATCTCGTCCCTCGACCGCAGCGGCCGAGAGAGAGGATTATGGGACCGATCCCGCAAGTATAATTAGGAACAAAGAGCGCGCCGTGGCGCGGCCGAGAAGATACGCGCCACCTTACCGATGAATTTCCTCCGTTACCGCGGATTTGCACGGATTTCAGTTTCTGTTTGTTTCTCTTTTGAAAACTCTCTAATCGCACAAACATTTTTCTTGTTCATATGTTTGTTTCTTCTTTCGATTTGAATGCAGTTTTACGGTTTCGATCTTGGGTAGTTGACAATCTTCTCGATTTCGAATGAATATAAATTTTATTTTTTCTTTGAAAGAAAAGGAAAAAAAAGAGAAGAAAAACGTCACTGAGATCGATGTTGCTCCGATGAGAATCCGATTCCAAAAAGTTACGTAATGACCGTCCTGAAAAAAAATCGAACGTTCCGACATCATCATCGCGTGTCAAAGTCACGTAAGAAATGGAATGTACAAGGAATTGGTTGGCGGGGAAAGGAGGAAAAAGAGGAACAACACAAGAGAAGAAGAAAGAGGAACGGAATTGCATCTGTAGGCCAGGGGGGAAGATACGTAAATGGCGCGAGGAGGTCTCTTATTACCGGGTAATAACCTGTAATAACGTAGATTTAATGCGCGGCTTCAAGTACAGGCTATAAGCAATCGTTTGCCGCCTTCAGCAGTTTTAATGAATTTTTTCCAACTCCCTTTTTTTTTTGGTTTCCTTTTTTTACACACATGTGTATGCCTCTCCTCTCTTTCGTCTTTTCGTTGTTTGTGTGTTTTTTCAGAGAAGACAAATATGTTACAAGTCTATCGCGCACGAAATTATCGATGTATTGTGTTTCGCTCTTATTTTTCGATAAAAAAAAAAAAAAAAAAAAAAGACATTATTTGACTTTAATCTTGAACATCGAAGTCCGAGTTATTCTTTTGAAAGTGAGAAAACGATTAAATTTTATTAACTTTTCGCCCGCAGACATGGGTCTCCTAGATCCCTGGTTCAAAAATTGCGCATCGGCGTTTCTTAGAAAAAATTAATTGTTTTTTTAAAACGTTTATATCTTTGAAACTAGAGATTTTTTTTTTTTTAATTTTTCCTCTCTTTGATCGACGCAGAATCGCTCAAACTTTTTTGAGAGTTTCGAACTTTTTGAAAAACTATTTTTAAAAATTGCGCTTAAAAGTGATAAAAAAGGGAAGTGACAAAAACTTGCCGCTTCGCAGATACTTCTTTCATTTCATTTGATCTATTTGTCTTCTTTTGTACATGGACCTAATGGACGGCGCGTTTTGCTGCGGGGTGGTAAGCTAAGAGGAAGGAGGGAGGTAGTGTCTGATACCACGGGCACACATCAATATGGCCGCAGAAAGACGTCAAATTAGACACAATCAAAAGGCACGGTAGAACTTCGCGTCAAGTTTAATTTTGAAATTAAAATTATTAACAAAAAAAATTAAAAAACAAAGCTATGATTTTTAGAGAAATTATTTTCTATTTATATATTTTACTTTATATATTTTTGTAAATACTAACTTTAACAGTTTATAAAGACTAGAAATAGAACAGAGACAAGCAAAAGAACAACATATATATATATAAATTATATCAATATTTTATTTATCACAAGTGTGTCACAAATACAAGTTTACAAAAATAAATAAAAGTTATTATGCTAATTATAATTAGCTTTATGATTATACATGACACGTACGTTGTATTCAACTAATGAAACTAAAAGTTAAAAATAAGTTTAACGTTATGGCAAAGCGTCTTAATTCAGGACTATATTGCCTAGGCAGTGATTTTTTTTGGGTTTTGAAATATTGTCGTTTTAATAAATCAGCGTTGCATTTTCCCAAATCATCTAACACTTGTAATTGCTCACTTGGCATGAAATTCTTCTTTTTTAATCCTGAAATGATTTCCTGCATTTGATTGATATGCTGGTCCTTTCGTCGGTTTGCTTGCTGCAGTGTGTAAATTTTCTTCCTGTATTCTTGTTTTTGATTTTCTATAACTGTACGCAGAAAAATCTTTCTTGGTGAATTTTCGCCAAGTGTCGGAGATACAGATGTTGCACAATCAATATACTGTTTAGGTGTGGAAGGTCGTTCGACTATGATTTCTTCAGATTCTAAAAAAACGTANTAATTATTAATTATTTGTTATTGTTATTATATTGTTATTGTTATTATATTACTTGTTAATTATTGTTATATATTTGTATATATTATATATTATGTAATTATTTATTAATTATTAATAATTTTGTTCAGTAATATCTTTTAGGACATTTTATAAAATTATTTTATTTAGATGTCTTACCTTGCTTGATCGTAAGTGAAGAATTAGAGATAATCCGACGTTTTGGTTCACTTGTGTCCGTCACATCTATACTATTCTCTACAGTTCTTTTTCTTGTAACTGGAAGAATTTCGTCAGTTACATTTANACGAGTATCTTTCGTCCTAGTTGAAACAGTTTCCTCGCTCTAGAAACAAATATTATATATTTATTATTTCTAAAAATATTTTCAAAAAGATATAAAATAAATTCAAACATTCAAAAAAATTACTGAGTATGGAATTGCATCTGGTTTCAACCGAACACGACCACATGCAGATGTTCTATCAAACATCTCTTCTCCAAAATGTTGCGAGCATACACGGCATCCTTTGTAAAGCTTGCATTGATTCAATTGCAAATTGTCTATCCATACTTTTCTTTTTTCTTCATTGTTTGGTAATCTGAAAATTTTACATACAATTGTCAAAGAAATTATATGTAAAATAGCTATGTCAATTTGACTAGTGACATACATAGCACTTGCACACATATAATCTAAGTAATAATGTTTTATTTATTTATTTATTTATTTTTAATTTAATACAAGTGATAGAATCTGTGTAATTATAGTGTTCTATNAGTTTAATTAAAATCATAAAAATTGCTTACTTGTGGAATGTGATGTGAACGGTTTTTTCTAAATCCAGCTNTTTTTTTGTTTTGCGCACTTGTGTTGATCGGTTGTTACAACCAGTTACAATGCAATCTGGCATTTTTTTTATAAAAAAGATCACTTGAATAAAACTACGTGATATCACAAGCCACGAGGTTATTGCCGTGATAATGACAACTGGCTAATATCCCGTATACTTGCAGCCATATTGATGTCCGCAAAAGTGACAATAGCCTTCTTACCTCCTGCCTCTTAGCTTACACCCCCCTTTCCCAAAACTGTACTTCACGCGCCGTCCATTAGGTCCATGCTTTTGTACTCTCTTTCTCTCGCTCTCTCTCTTTCTTTCTCTCTGTCTCTCTCACGTGGGGCCATTGTCTTCTATAAAAACATGACGCAGCGCGCGAGAGTTGAGAGCCAATAAACGGGCGAAGCGAGGCCCCCCGAGAGAGGTTGAGCGTCACTGCGGATCATTACATGATGCGGCGCGAGGACCGCAGAAGAGGGTACTACATATATAGTATACGACAGAGAGACGGGGACCGCCGCCGCCGCCGCCGCCGAGTAGATCGAATCTCCCCCTCAACGGGGCTTAAAAAGGTCAGCTGAGAGAAGCAAACGCTCCCGTCTCTCTGTCTCTCTTCAACCTATCTCACTTCTACCTTTTTTTTTATTTTACCTGTTCAACTCCGAAAACTCGGATCAATTTTTCCGCACACACCGGCTTTGATCTCAAAGAGATCAAAGAAAAGCGCGCAACATTCCTTTCCTTTCCCGCCCGAAAAGAATTTTCACAGACGCCTTAACGTTTCAACGCTTCGCTTTTCGCACTACGTTTAGCAGGTTTTTTAAACAACATCTTGATGATTTTGACGCGATGACAGTACAACGTGTGTTGCGATTAATTTTCCTAACCGAAGAAACCTCCGTCCACGCAGGAGATTTACGCGCGCAAAATTGGAAACAAATCAAATCACAAGTCTTCTTACCGAAGAGAGTAAATTTGTCGACTAAAAAAAGATTGAGCAAGGAGGTGAACCACTTTTTTTTGTCTTAAACTTTGTAAAGAGACCGCTCTTATTGTCCGATGGAAATTCCGTCACCGGATGATAAAAACAGTTCGCTCATCGGCTAATGTTTACAGAACGGGATGGTGCGAGTCTTTGCTGAACGGTGCGCGGTTTCTTTCTGGTGTGTGTGCAGCACGCGTTTATAGGAGATAAAAATACAGATTAAAAAATGGTAAGTACGCGTGTAATATTAAGAGCAAATGTTACATCTGGATTGATTTGCAAGATGTAAAAAGTATAATTCAAATCGTTACGTATATGCTCGAAGAGCAATAAAATAATTATTGTTACTTCCACCTTTTGAGGTTAGAAAATGTGTCTGTAATATTTTTTAAATTTTTTACATATCGTTTAATTTTTCTGTACTTTGTTTATAAATTGTATATGTAAAGAGAGAATTGTTTTTATCACGTTGCTAAATAAATTTTTCTTTTTTCAGGCTCGAAACGCGGAGAAAGCTATGTAAGTAGTTTTTTGGTTTACACCTTATTAAAAAAGTGAAAATGACAGTTCAGATTTAATTAGAATATTTTGTATTTTTTTTTTTTTTTTTTCATTACCAGTAGTTACATGTGAAATATTTGATATGATTCTTAGGACGACACTTGCTCGTTGGAGAGCGGCGCAGAATAACGAGGGAGCTAGGAAGGAACAGGAAAGGAGACCGTATCTCGCGTCGGAATGTAGAGATTTACGTAAGGCGGAAAAATGGAGAATGCAGATAATCAGAGAGATCGCAAAGAAAGTCGCACAAATTCAGAATGCCGGACTCGGAGAGTTTCGAATTCGCGATTTAAACGACGAGATCAACAAATTGCTAAGAGAGAAACGGCACTGGGAGGCGCAGATAAAAGAACTCGGCGGGCCCGATTACTCCAGAGTTGGACCGCGCATGCTGGATCACGAGGGACGTGAGGTAAACGCAAACTTCTTAGACAGTTTAGCTTCGCGCTACGTTTCTCAGAGAGATATACATAGATAGGTGTTACACGTGTTTCAGGTTAATATTAGAAGAAAGAGAGGATTAAAGTTCCATTTATATATTGAAACAGGTTCCCGGAAATCGTGGTTACAAATATTTCGGCGCCGCCAAGGAATTGCCGGGTGTGCGGGAATTGTTCGAGCAAGAACCGCCACCGCCTCCCCGAAAAACTCGGGCGGAATTGATGAAGGACATAGACGCGGATTATTACGGTTACATGGACGATGACGACGGCATTCTTATACCGTTGGAACAAAAGGCGGAACAAGAAGCTAGGGAAATATGTGTTCGCGATTGGGTGTCGCACGAGAAGGAACCCGAAGTCGACTTCGAGATAACCGCGCAAAAACCGATTCCTTCGCAACAAGACATTCAGGAAGCCCTGCTGGCTAGGAAAAAGAAAGAACTGTTGGAAAAATACGGATTGGATTGAAAATCAAATCTGATCGGAAAAATTTTTGTATAAAAAGAAAAAATCCAAAATCCATCTAGGACGTCCAAGAGAGCGTTGCGATAATAACTATTGATAAATTTATTTAAGTTTAAGTATATATTAGAATACATTTTTTTTTTTATAAAACGCGATGAATATAATTATTGTTAATTTATAAGTACGTAGTAACATTGATTTAAGGTAATTAATTTGTGCAGTAGACATTCAAACTTGAATTAATGCTTATCGAGAGAAACGGGTGCTGTAGATAAAATATAGATCAAAATCCAAAACGTTAGTCTGTTTATAATCTTCGCGACCTGGTTGGTGTCTTTTTTTTGTGTCGTCTCATCTTCTTTCGCTTTGAGGGGAAGAAGACGATATGTAAAAACAATGACAATGATGCAAAGAAACATCGGAAGAAGTACATAAATAAAGTATGTAAATTATTGTGTGTTAATTATCTGTGATGTATGTAATTTAGAAATATGTATATAAAGGTCGCATTGTGGCAAAGTTCTCGGTTTCGCGCATTAAATTTTCAAGTTGTCTCCATTGATCCGTCAGATCAATAAAGCGCAATAAAAAAAAGAATCTGAACGACGATTCGGTGACAAAAGCTCGGCAAAGTGAATCAAGTTGTGATCGATGATTTCGAAAACTAAAAATTTCTCTATCGTACGCGAATCAAACGCGTGATCAATTCAAATTGATCGTTCGCGGTGTGAGATTTAATTTTTTTTTCATCGCGATCTTACGATTTTTACGTCAACTTCGAAGAGCGCAAAAGGCCTAAAATTTACTCTGAAAAAACTATCTGCTAATGTAACATATACACGTTACCTCATGCTGGCTCCGTCCTGCAAAATTGTTTTTCTTCCTAAATTTTAACGTCTGTGTTATTACAAAAAAAAACAAATATATCCCTCTCCGACGGTCTCGAATCGGTAGATTTTTTTTTTCTACGCTATATGTTATTACTTTAATTGATATCGATATTTACATAATATTGTTTTCCCTTCTCTTCAGAATCGTGCCGTTTATAAACAGACTATATATCATATGCAAGTGTATGTGTGTGTGTGTGTGTGCGCGCGCGCGTGTGTGTGTACGTGTGTAACATCGCTAGGACTCAGAAGCGCGTTCGCAATGTGTAATCTTCCTCTTTTTTTTTTGTGAACCGCTCTATATACAATGTCCGCGTTAAAATCGAAAAGAAACGACTTATTCTACGAACATTACGGGTCTAAATTGAGATTGAGATAGAGATGGAGAGAGAGAGAGAGAGAAAAAGAGCGAGCAAAGAATCGATAAATAAAAGATAAATTCTCCAAATCCAGGACATTGTATACTCAAGTTGTGTGTTCTACGTGTAGTCTTTTAATCCTTGCATATGTATATACAATAATAGCTTCTCCTCACTGTATATATACTAAATATGCACGTATAAAACATTCACGCTGTGCGATAAGAAATTTTTGTTCTCCGTGCCTTCTAAAAAAAAAAAAAAACAAAAATAAAAATAAAAACCGATTTCTGAGTCCTCACGATCGCTTTTATTCCTAAATATGTGAATGAGAGAAAGAGAGAGAGAGAGAGAGAGAGAGAGAGAATAGTTCGAGCATGGATTAATAACTATTATATATGAAAATTGTGTTTATATATCGCTATGGAGAGGCTTGAAAAAGTCAAGCGTTGAATGATTCACAGCATCTGTTTGTCCGTTAATCAGTCGCTGGCTTTGCCCGCTAATCTGGGGGTCCCCTAACGGTGTTTTTTGGTCTACCTCCCACCGTCTGTATTTTTTTTATCACTTTTGTATACACTTTTATTTTTATAATAATAACGATGTTTTAATCACCGTGAACTCACTGTCTCGTCTCGTGTGTGTTTTATTCCAGATAATTAATAAAAAAAAAAAAAAGAAAATCTCGTGCCGATACAAGAAACGAAGGCCGATCGAAAAATTTTTGGATTGAATCAGATTGACGTTTGATTGCTCGTGAGTTCAATGCGCATCAGCGGAGCAAACTCTTAACTCTTTGACACCTGTGCAATTAATTGTCGTATCTCTAACAGAAACACTTTCTTATAAATACAAGACATTGAAATCGCACGTACAACGTTGAGATCATTGATGATAATTAAAAATTGAGAACCAATATGTATCTCTCTATAACATTTATACATGTTGAAAAAAAAAAAAAAAAAAAACTATTTTTATATGTGTTTAAAAGCATTTCGCAAATTAAGAATAATTTTCTCTTCACAGAGAAAATTTATATTACAGCGTGTCTGAATTATTTGAATATAATTTATCTGAATATATTTAGCTAGACTTCGGAGATTGAGAGATACTCCTTTCCTCGCTGCGGTTGTTGTATCGAGCAAATTCGAAACGCAAACGTCGGAAGTAACAAATTGTGAGAAGTTTGTTTTGTTTGTCTTGCGATTTACGTGCGAATCTTTTTTCACGTGTTTTGCTCTCGACGTGTCTCGCACAATTTGTACATATCTCTAATTTATATCACTGATTGATAATAAAATATACCGCAAACTTTTTTGATTATTCGGCATTAATATTAATCTTAAGCGTTCGCTCTATACAATTCCAGCGAAACTAGGCCTTGCGTACAACATGGATTCCGATTTATTACAAATATTTATTCAGAAAGTTTTAACTTTCCGCGCATGTGTATGTGAATATATTGAGAAAAGAAAAAAATTTCCGGTATATATTTGATCAATCTATATGCTGTTTGAATACGCCGAACAAACATGCCGACACACTCGAGAGATATTTTTATTCCGACGGAGTCGCATGGAAAACAATTGAAGCAATTTCTTACTTTTTCCGACGTTTCGCGATTCAACGGGGGGCGCCGCCGACCCCCCCCCCCCAGCGAGTAATCGAAGAATTCGCAATCGCAGAGAGTTCATAGATAAAATTTGTACGTTTGCGTAACACGCACACACACCCACACACACCCACACACACACACATAACATACATCCCCCCGTATATATCCTTATATCAAATAAATTGTTTTATTTTTTTCTCGCGATTTAAAACGTGGACGTGATAAATCCCGTGGCCGCCTTCGAGTTGTTGTTTATGCTCTACTTTATAGCATGTGTGTTTCACCTAAAATAGTAACTATAGCGCGGGAAAATTTCCCCTCCCCCCTCTTTGCTCGAAAATTCTATAATATTAATGCGTAAATTACTCTCTCACTTTTAAACACCTTAAATCGTAATATCGTGATTGTGTGTATGTTTCTATTTCCGTTTTATTTTAGTTATATATCTCGACTCTACAATCACATCTGCGTTTACGCGAGTGCGCTTTGCGAGTCATTGTGCGTGTCATTTGAATTGTGGATGTCCGCTCGTCCGTATTTCCACTTCGAGCCGAACTCTTGCTTGTTTAAAAAAAAAAAAAAAAAAACAATCGTGCTACAAACCGTTCGTCGCGCTCCCACGGCGCTAATATTAAGTCGTTCACACCCGTGCGCGCGCGTGTGTATCAATCCATTCTCGAACCATTTTCAGGGACAACGACTGCCCGTGTTCTAAAATTCTTTTTTTTTATCCTGACCGTCTCTCCTAATTTTGATCTTTTTTTTTTTCTTAGACACACAAGAACAACACCATCAGATATAAGAAACTTCTTGAATATACGTTAAATACACTTGATATGAACACGGGCTCAAATATTCGCCATATCGATTTTGCATGAACAAGCAGATCGAATGTGTATACATATATATACAGTAACATGCCATAAAAGATGAGTTTAATACCGACACATTGACACAGTGTTGTGTGATGGCAACAATTTTTCCAAAAACAACGCGGTGCTGCTGAGATACACACACGTGTTTGTGTGCGTGTGTGTGTTTACGTGATTATTAATTATAACGCGACGCACGACGGCACAATGAATCAACAAAGAATTCAGCGAGTGTCGCGAAAAAATTATAAATCGAAAAATGTGTGTTCTCCGACGAAAAATTTCGACTTTTCTCTCGCTGATACTTTTTTTTTTTTTTTTTTTTTACAATTAGAAAGCTTACACGTAGTAGCGATATTAGCAGCTTTTAATCGGCTGACATTTATCTAAAAATGCAAATACCGAACTCTGAGAGAAATATTGTTTAAAAGTTTACACGTTCAGAGGAAAGAAAAGAATATCTTGAATAATTTTGCATCTTTGTTGTATATATAGAAAAAACGAGCACGACCGCATATGATAATAACTCACTGTGTCGATGTTATCTTGTGCAGGGTGGACACAAAATCGCTCTCACAAATTCATTGAAATCACAAATTTTCGGAATCCAAGATTCTCTTGTTTCTTGGGAAAAATATCAAATGTTTTTTGGAAATTTGTTAAGATATCCTTAAAGATACATAGTTTCGAATTAAAAAAAAACGATCTCTCTCTTCTCTTTATACATATCTCAATATATTTTAACAATAATAAAAAAAATCGCAAATATTTTTAAGAATCATATCCGAAAATAATAAAAACTCCTTGTTCTTTTTTGAGAATGTTTTAACAATTGTATAAAAAAATTATAATTAAATTTAAAATTTAAAAAATTATAATTAAGAATTTTTTTTATAAGCAATGTTTCGATTCTGAAACAGTTGAAAGTGTTGCAGAGATATCTGGACTTTCTATTTTCTATTCACGTGGCCACCCTGTGATCTTATAATATTATAAAGTTAAAGAGATCTGCTCTCTCGAAATAACGCCGCTCGGTCGCTTGAAATTCGCTTGCATTTCCCACAACAATTTTTTTTTTCCATTTTAACGTGGCGCGCGGCCTAAAAAGGGTGAAAGGCACAAAGTAAAAAATAAATACGGTTCAGATTGGCTCAGGCACATGTCGAGTCGAAGAGCATCGATACCACGTGACCGTGAAGGATAGGCACAATGATGCCGCGGAACGTCGGTAACACCACGTGATCGTTGTTGACCCTCTCGACATCGAAGACTAACCCATACTGCTCCCCCATCAGCGTATCAAAAAGGGAATGTACTTGGTACATTTAGACGAGAGTTTGTAACTCAGAATTTTACAGTATATTCCAAACAACATCCCGAACAAAACAAAAGCCCAAAGTACTTCTAAAGAAGCTTGATTTGACAGTTAGAAACATGTTTTTTTTTTTTTTTTTTTTTTTGGAATGCCATTTAAAGTTCTTTTTGTCCGACAAAGACGTCCAATGTGTTTGCTTTTGACTTTGCTGTCTTTCTTTGTGTCGCCAATTGTGGCGTGATCTTTATACTCAGACCAGCAAGAACCTTTACAGAAGATCTTTACAATGTCATTTGGACACTTGTGTTGTTCGGGTTCGGACTTGCGATTGACAGACCGACTGGAATATTGACTTCCGTTGTTAAACCGGGCAGTACACGGTACGTGCGTGTGTCTCCGTGAGATAAGGAGAAAGAGGTCGGATCCACCTCGGGATAATAATTCCGCCGCAGTTGTTCCTCCTTACAAAAGCACGTCAACCTCCCGTACTCTTCGGTGAGCACCGGCTTCAAATCGCTTTACACTCGAATAGTCGCATCGAGAGTAAATCCATGGTAGACACTCCAGTGGAGTACTCGAGACTCAGGGACGAAGCAAAGAGTGCCAGCGTTGTATCTGAGTCGGCTGTCTCGCCGTTCGCATGTCGTTCCAATGTTGGAGCTCCTCGGATCCCGAGCTGTTCAGACCCAGAGAGAGCCAGCCGATCATCTCCCGTCCCTTCCTGCCCATTCCGCCGCGTCGACGATTGTACACAGATAGGAAGAGCGTCACGTCACCCAATTGGAACAACGCGATCTGCATTCGCGAAAGAATTTCGCGTATAATATAGGAATCAAAATGTTATTATAGAAATTGAAATTTAATTAAATTGTGCGAATTGTTCGTCGAAATTGATCGTTTTTTTATCTCGAGCGAAACGAAAGCCAAAATCTCGTTCGAATTACCTGAAATATAAAAGTTTCCTTGTACAGAGGATTCGGCTGGGCGCGTTTTAGACCGGTCTTCGATCGGCCCATCTCGTGGTTGTTGCTGTCGACGAGGACCAGCTTCACATAGGTGTCGGGTGGCTTCGTGTCGTTTCCGCCTCCGCCGCGAAAATGAGAACCCTTGATTATTTCCACTGACAAACGACCCGTAGTGCCGTTGTATGCCAGACCGATTAGAATCTCAGCGACACTACCGCCCTTCATACTGCTGCCGTACGGTGGTATCGCTGTAGAGGCATACGACTGGACCGACTGTTGGGATCCCGTGGAATCGCTACGAGTCAAACTGCTGGTGGTCCCCCAATCTTGCGCCTGGAAGTGTTTTGTGACATGACGTTTTAATACGCGATAGAAAAGATAATGATTAAACGCGAAGAAAAGTTTAAATGAAATTTATTATTTAGAAGAACAACGTACCGAAGAAGAAAGTGGCGGTTGAAGAGTCAGCCAGAGAGTCGTTTCCAGTTGAAGATTGATCTGATCGAACGACACCCTAGCCTCTCCCAACAATCTCTCCCGGCGCATCATTCGGCCGCCCCAGAGATACACCCGAAGCCGCACGCCCATCGCGTTCACGTCCTCCGGATTGACACGTGGAAGCAAAAAACTCTCCATATATTGCGGAGACGTTCCTTGTCGCACTCGAGTCTTGCGTCTTTGCTTCTTCGAGGGTAGAAGAACTAACCGTACCTGACTGCCGCTGATGCCAGGAGGATAATTTCGTCCTTGTAGCACGTGGACCTAAAAAAAAAAAGAAAATAATAATGTTCAATAAACTTGTATGAAAAAAGATTTATACAGGTTATCACAAGCAATACACAAAAAATCGAAATTATATCGCAAAATAATTTTGTATACGAACTGTCATCTCGCGCATTGGGGCGTCGTATAAGAAAGCGACTTCGAGGCTGCCAACTTCCTCGGTAGCCACTGTACCCATCGACGTGATGGCATCATTGGTCGTGGATTCATTGTGCTCGACTTCTATTTCCTGCTGTCTGTTGTCGAGTATTATAGCAGAAGCTCCAACTTCCACTACGCACTGCGAAAAGAGCGCAATATATCTGATATCTAATTTAAACACCTAAATTCCAATCTTCTTTCGAGAGTTTCCTGCGAAAGAAACTCGTCGGAGTGTTGTTTGCGCAAATTAACGAGATTCATTACCTGCTGTTGATCTGCCGGAGAATGTTCTTCCGTGCAGCTACTCGAAGTAGTCCCAGCATCTACGCAGAGAACACAAATTATATTAACAACAATCTAAATAAAGTTTCACTTTGCACGAAATTTATTATCACGTATTTATTAGCTCACATTTAAATTTGTTTTTTTTTTTAAAACAAACGTTTAATTTCGATAATTATTAAACACATTTTTTTGTTCAACACTGACCCACGATAGTGGTCGATCTGTCTTCCGCTTGGATAGTTAACGTATCTTGCGGTGGATGAGAGCGCGAATTCAAACGTCGGAGCGCGTCCTCCTCCGAATCGGAACTTGTCTCTGGATCCGAATAGGAGAACGCCTTCCCTACAAAGGAGGAACAAACGAATGCTCGATCAATATGCTGAAATATTCACGCTTTCTCGTGAAAGCAAACACCAAACATGCCACGAATCAAGAATATATGTTAATCGCTACTAGAAATAAAGATTGATTAGAGGGTCGATCTTCTTTTTGTTTTTTGTTTTTTTTTTCAATTCAGAAATTTGTGCGGTTATTTCCTGTGGTGCAATTTGCAAAAGAGGATGGAGTGAGTGCAAAGTCCAACGAAGATCTAGGAAGACGCTGTCTGAGATCGGTATAAAATTGATAATCTGTTTTGTGTTACCTATGTTTTTCGAGATTTGAGATGTGGAGCTGTTGGTGGACTCACAGAGGGGCACACAGACTCCGCCGAAGAGCGCGGTGGACGAGGGCGACGTGAAGCACCACTTCCGGGACAAATAGAGAAAGAGAGCCAGTAGCAGTACTACGAAACCGGCAACAGCACCAAGAACAGCAGTTGCTTCCACTGGTACTGGAACATCCCAAATGTTTCGTTTACAAATTTTTTTTGAAGCGACGTACCTACGCGCTCGCAATCAGCGCGCGTGCTCCGCGTTTCCCGGTTGACCACGAGCGTGTCGCAATTTGTTTATATACAATCTCGTATCCTACTTCTTTGTTCGTCATTTAAAAAACACACAAAATTATTACAGCGATATTTCTCGATATTGAAACACGTCACGCGCTAATAAAATAAAATAAAAACAAAAAACTTCCGTTACACCATTAACGCAATCAAGTTTATATTGATCCACCTTGTCCTTGTAACGTCATCGATTTTTTCCTTTTTTTTTCCGCGACAACTCGATAAAAAAGATGCGCTCTCTCCCGCGTTTGTGTGTACTTTCCGTTTTATCGAAAAGATATTTCGCTGGTAGAGAAAATAAATTAATTTATGCGCGCGAGATATATATGCTATCGCCCGAGATATGTATCGAGGTGAAGCTCGATAAGCAGTTTTATCGTCTCAACTTGCGTTCGTTTAATGATCCTTTTAAAGTAAAGTTATCGAAGGAAGTTGCGCTTATCGTTTTTTTTTTTTTTTTTTTTATCACAAAACTATATATCAAATAATTATTTCATTCGGTGTGGAACTAGAAAAAAAATTAGAAATATAAATAAATAAAATATAAATAAATATAACAAATAAAATGTAAATAAAATATTGCAGAAAAAACAGACAAACATAAATTTTTACGCGAAACAAACAAAATGAGAAACGCGCGGAACAAATGTGCGCGTCCAGTTCTAATTTCTCAGTTCTCAGAAAACAAAAAATTGCCCTCGAAGGAGAGAAAACAAAATTACCACCGTGTTTTCGTTTCCCTTGAAATTTTCGGTCGACGACGGCTTCTTTTTTTTTTTTTTTTTTTTTTTTTTTTCCCCGGTATACAACCCGGCGCGTGTTGTCGTATATCGAGCGCGTTAACGCGGCATCGACATATTACGCCGTAATGACCTGGAATAATTTATTATCGCTCCAGTTGTGACACAAACTGAATTGCGGCGTGGTATTGCGCAGCATTACACACACCTTCTACGTGCGACACCTCTCTCTCTCTCTCTCTCGTCTATCGTGAACGAAATATTGTCTTTTTTTTTTCTCTTGTCTCCGAGATGTTAAATCGCAAATTTTGATAGTTTAACGCGCAAAAGATTGACGACTAACCAGTTTCGCTACTTCGTTTTTGCACAATCTCTTTGTATGTCACATGTGTGTGTGGGTGTGCAATTACATCGCGTTTCTCGGGAAACGTAATAACGTTCCCTCAAAATTTTTGGAATTCGCTTGCGCAATGCGGATCGTGAGGATTCTGGATTATTCGAGACCGTCGCGCACGGTGTCTCCTCGTTTTTTCTCTCGACTTCGTGTCCCAAAGCCTGAGAGTCCCATTTGGAGCACAACAAGCACCCATTAAATTCCTCGATCGAACGTTCGCTTTTTTTGTACATCCTGAACCGAAGAGCGAGAGAGAAAGAAAGAGAGAGAGAGAGAGAGCGGATCCGTCGGTTCCACTGAGGGGGTGGACTATCGCGAATCTTTTCTCACAATCTCAGAAAATCGAATATATCTCGCGGTAAAAATTCCTTTGGACGTGGAAAAAAACGCAACGTGTTCTCGCAAGGGAATAACATCCGTTACGTTTCTGATTCGATTTTGGGGAATTGTCGACGGAGTCGACCTCGGGGTCCAGTCTTTATAGTGGACTTACCCGCCAAGAAGTGGTCTGATCCAGCCAGAATCATGCTCGTCCACGGTGTCACATTTAAAGCTTTTCTCTATGTGGCTCGATGCCGTAGCCGCAGTTGCCTGTCGCGGAATAACAGATGCATTATCCGCCCCCGCTGTCGGGCCAGACTCGGTGTGAGATCGGGATGAGAGAAGCGTGGCTGGCCAGCTTCTCGTAGCTAGCCGCACAATAAATATACGTGGGCGGGGGTGTACACACACGGCACTCTGTTGCTCGAGCCGAACACGGCGACGCGCGCCTGCTGCACCGAAACCCGTTGTACGCGCCTGCGCAACCCGGACCGCGAAGCCGTGTTTTGCTGTCGCCTGTCAGGCGCAGGGGTTGTGTGTCAACAGCGTAACTACGCCAGGCGACGTGGTAAAATGTTCGTTTGCAGATGAGCGATGAGTGTTTCTTATGGAACGCTATTGCGTTACGAAGACTGACCGGGATTAATTGTCTCGTCCAGGTGTGAGGTGCGAAACACGGACGGGATCCTTCCGGTTGCGCGATTTCAGATCTCTTTTTCCGGGGTGACAAAATTTGAAACCGAGGCGCGGCCCTGAGAACGAATGTCTTGTATTGATAACTTTCAAGACTCTCTCATTGCTCTGTGGTTTTGTTGTGTGTATGTTACTCGCGTGCGCAGCTGCAGCGGGGTTTTATTCATGTTTAGGGAACAGTCGGAACAATGAAGAAACGTTGGAGCAATGTGCGTTATATACAGGGTGCGTCGCCAAAGTCCGGACAAATTTCAATTTAATATTCCCTCCGTTCAGTACCATTGGCAGATGTCGCGATTGGCATTCAAATAGCTTGACGCATGTACTAAACTACCATAACTTCGAAACAGTCGCAATGTTGAAACCCAGTGCGGAGTACAACCNAAGAGCCNCGATTATCGAAAGTATTCGCGCCGGGCGCTCGGCGACAGAAATCATTCGGTTTTTCGGGTATCCGAGATCGACTGTGTATGATGTTTTCGCAAAGTAT